AGTGCCCCCTGGAGGCCGTGGTAGAGATGGCTACAGACTGCAGTCAAATTACTAAAAAAAAAAGAATTTCCTGAGGAAATGACAGAAACTCAATCTTTCAGTTTTAGAAAGAACAGTTTTTCATGCATGTTGCTTGAATGTAATCTGATTACATCAGAAAATGTGTTACAGCAGCCCAGTTGTTTATGCATCACTTTTATGTAATGCTGTTTTATCACGTGTCATCTATTGATCATATTGATCATCATGACAAAATGTCAAATGTCCTTTTATGGATATGAAACCGATCAGTTTAGAGATCACATTTTCTTTTTGAAGAAGTTTTCTATACGTCCCAATTTTGTGACAATTGTTAATATTATTGATCATATTGATCAATGATCACAGGTTTGGACATAAGGTTCAATTTCATTGTGTGATTATTGAGACCTGGTCTGTCTGGAGATCAACATGTTTTTGTTTTTTTTGTAAATCGTTACTTCTAAGTGAATGTCACTGTTAAGGAAGTTGATACTTTTTCATGCATTTGCATGATTGCTAGCTGATTGCTAACTGATTGCTAGCTGATTGCTAACTGATTGCTAGCTGATTGCTTAACTGATTGCTAGCTGATTGCTTGAGCAACCTTCTCTTATCCATAATGGATATAGTTCTCTGCTGATCATATTGATCAAAAATGTGTATGTAATTTGAATCGTATCTGTTTGTCCGATCTTAGTGTTTGCCTTTTTACTGAAGGTTCTTTCTGTTATTTCACTGTTTCGATCAGTGTGTGAATATTTATCACAGTGTGATAAGAATAATTGATCTGTTTTTAAGATCATGATTTGTTTAAAGATCACATGTCATTTGTGGTGACATATACAGTACATAATGATCTCTGTGAGTACAGTGTGTTCTGCAGAAATCTGCATATTTTTATAGTGAATTATTCTTGTGATATGTTACAATAAACATTCCTGAAACATACTTTATTTTTTATTTCTTGTTTTGGTCGGTGTTTGCATTATTTTTTTAGCACCATAATTTTCTAAATAATAGATCATGGATGTATGATTAGAGTAAACAAGGAGCATCCACCAAAGGCCAAAGGTCACTGTTACAGGATGGAATATTATTTATGCAAAAAACAAAAATCATGCTACCATCCAAAGTTAATAATGCAGTGAAAACATTGATTCAGGAGTCAGGAGTCTGGCAGCGGTCGATTGCTGCTGACCTTCTGGTCCTTATATGGAGCCATAGTACTATTGTGCTGGACAGTAGCCCAGAGCCACTCAAGAAAGGTCCCTGCAGACTGTCATGTCTTCCCTCCTACCTGTCTCCCTACATTCGTTCGTTTCTCCATGTCTCTCTCTCCTCTGAACTTTGACCTTGTGTCATGATTCTGTGTTTGTGGTGTTTTGGTATTTCCCCAGTTTGGACTCTATACTGTCTTGCGTTTTTGTTAATTAAAATAACTAAACTGAGCTTTGGTGTTCTGTTGTGTGCTACCTTAAGGTCATCGGGTCTCAAACTCCAGGTGCGGGGGTCAGTTATGTCCCATGAACCCTGCACATCTCAACTAGATCTCAATAATACTTCAATTTTCCCCTCATTTGCACTGTTGAATTATGTTATAGTTTTTATAGTATTAAAAAAACTTGTACTGTATTGAAAAAAAATAAATGCTGATGTGAAAAGTTTGTGGTCTGTTTAGATCATCTTTAAGTTTGTATTCGGTAAAAACAGAAATAAAAAATTATACATATAGAATATTTTTTATTTTTAAAAATTATTTGATTTAAGACAGCATTTGTGACACTCTTTGTGAGAATAGCATTCATTAATATATATTTTTATCAACAAAACACCAGACCTTATTTATGATGTGCTTCAAATAAATGGCGTGTCCAAAAAAAAAAAAAAATTAAATTTGGTTGGCCACTTTAATCTGTTCAGGTTAACAGTAGATTTTAATTTTTATTACAGTATTAAAAACTGTACAAACTTTTAATTATTATAATATAATCTTGATTTTTTTTATAGTGAATTCCACATTGTATTTATTTTTCATCTGAATATCAGGCAGTTTATTCAATCATTTATATAATTTGTATTTTAAGACAAAACAACTTGATGAATTAGATAACGCAGTTTAAATCAAATGTAGCGTCAAAGTCCTGCCACACTCGTGTTGGTGAATAACCATCTGTCAGATTATACTCTTTCCTGACATAATGTTAATCTCTGTGTTTGTCTGATTTTAATTGTTTCATAATCTCAGCAGCAGATGAATTAAATGTTCATATGTGTCCACACCACAGGATGACTCGTGTTGTCTTGTCTTTCATGATCATCTGCGATCCCACAGAGACAAGTGGAAACTGTGCTGTACACAGGTTCATGTGGGATCAGTTTCTCTGCTTATCTCCCCTCCATCTGTCTCCACATCTATCTGCTGTCCATGTGAAGGCTCAGGTTTCCCACCTCTCCCCTCCTCTCAGCAGACACGGCTGCCAGCCCAGGCCTGAGCGTGCCCTGATCACACGCCCTCCTCTCTGTGCTGCTGCTGGGAGCCACCGGGACACACGGCTTCCCACACTTCTGTATGCTCCCTGCTCAGCCTGGCAGACAATAGAAGTGTGTCTGCTCTCACACAGCCTCAGGACTGTTCTCAGGCCGGGGTAGGACAGAAGGCCGCTTCACAGACCAACCATCTGGTTTGGTTGTAACTCAGTGCTGAGGCTCACGCAGAGGGAAAATACAAACAAACAACAAAACCTTCAAGTGTTTGTCATCCTGTATTCTATATTTATATGCATTTAATGTTTTTCTCTTTCATTTAAAAATAAAAGGTTGTCCTTAAAATCTTGCTAATTTGCTAATGCCACACTTAGCATATTTGAAACAAGTGTGTTCATTTTTTATTGAAGTATTGAAGTAATGTTTTTTTTTTCCCCTAAATTATCATCACCTACACATCAGCCCAAATCTTCTTTCCCGTGTCCACTTCAGGAAAACCATTTTCCCACTGACCCCACTAATGTATGGAATCGAGCACAAAGGATCCCACCTGTTCTTTTTGACAGGCCTTTAATTCTCTCTATTGTCCAACTCACCGAGGCTCCTGATTGGCTGATCATGGGAGAAGAGGGCACTACGAGCAGCATAAATACAGAGCACGGAGGCCGTCAAGTCAGCTCACTGAGACTCTCACTGGACCTTTGAAAGCTGCTGCATTCAAGTCACCGACGACAAGAAACAACCAGGACATGTCTCTGTACGCAGACCTCGATCTTCAGGACAGTGTGAAGGAGCAGCTCTTCAGGTAAGAACTTTAACCAACACTTGGAGTCACTGAAATGGCTCCACAGTTGCTGGGTGTGTGAATTAAACCTCTGGTGTTTCTCCTTGACAGGTGCAGACTGCACATGCTGGAGAGGAAGTGCTGCAGTGGAGTGGAGAAGCTGAAGGCTCTGCTGGCTGAACACCTGCAGAGTGGCATCCCAGTGTCAGAGCTGCTGGAGAAGACCAAGTGCTTCCTCACGTTGAGGCGGGCGCTGCTGTCTCACAGCGGTTACTCCAAATACTCCAGAGACATTCTACGGCTGTTTCCCGACGCGGAGGACGACGTGGCTCCTCTGTGCTTCTGAAGAGGAAGAAGAAGAACTGATTTTACTGCTGTGTCTGACGCCTCCCGTGCTGTGACATGGAGGCCAAATGCATTATTTTCAATAATGTCAGTTGAATGACTTAAATGATGAGAGACCTCATGCTTGTATGGTGTGAATTCAAGAGACTGCTCGAATATTTGCTGCTGCTAAGTTTATATATGGGATTAAGAATTCCCAATTTTTTTTTTCGAAATGGTTGTTGTATTTGAACCAGACCACTGAAGTCCAGTGTGGCGACTATGCAGGAAATAGTTGCTGGTGTTTTTTTTATTCCTGCGATGTTGTTTGTTTTTCCTTTGAGAAATGTTACGGTTCAGTTTGTGTGAAATCTGGTTTAAACTTTAAGCCAATCGTTGACGTCCGCCTGGCCGTGCTGTGAAAACAGTGTGAAGGAGAATATTGTGCCTTTAGTTTTGGATATCGCCTTGTTTCAAGGTTTAACTTCCACCTTTCTTCTGAAAAGGGATCTGTGATTGTTTGATTTTGTATGCCATGTATATTTTTTATTTGATTCACGAATATGTCTTAATTTAATTTATCCAAAATGGATTTAATTTTTATTGGGTGTTTTTTCACAGTTGTCAAAATAAAAAATGCAATAAAAAAAGCATCAAAAATAATATCATCTGGTGTTGTCTAATTTATACGATTTTGAACTGAGGTTCTCAACATGGGGAGGTAATCCTAAGGGAGTCTAGGGAGAAAATTATTTTTGAAAAGCTTAGTATTGCATGGATGTTTATATGTGGTCCAAGGCCCTGGAAAAGATCAGACACAGTCATATATAATACATGCAGTTCAATGGGTTTAACCCTTTCCTGTTGATAATGATAAAATACATTTCATATTTAACGTATTCTGCTAACACACCTTGATACAACCCCAATAAAATACACAGAAAAACACAGATTATGGCAGTAAATAAACAATTATATGCTGGTGTAAACAGCACGATGATCATCATACTCTTGAAGTAAAATATTACCCAACTCATTTGGGGTTTTTAATTAAAAAAACACTTGATAAAAGCTTGATAAATGTAGGTACAGGATCAAATAAGGAGAGAAAATAGTTTTAGTTTGACAGAGTTGTTTTAATACAATTCTCTAGTTGTAATAACTCAGCCTTTTCTCTCCGTCTCCTCCATTTAAGTCTAAACACCTCTGCATGTGACGATACCATACGAGAATTCCTTCCGCATAGAATTCTGGGGGACATCTTTGACACCAGGTCACAGCCTGCTTTATGGCCTCGTCTTAGGGAGTTTAAATGTTCTTTCAGTTTTAGAAAAATAAATAAATCAGATGGAAGTGGAAATAAAATTATGGAATAAAATGTACGTAATTTCAACAGGTTTTCATTCTAGTTTGATTAGAAAAGACTGCTCTGATTTTAAAATAATTAATCTTTTAAAACAACCCAGATTAAATATAACATGTTTGTTGAAATCAGTTTTAAATTTTAAAATTACTCCTGTTATACCATCCTACCTTGAAATGTATTTAGTTAAATGAACAAATTAACTTTTTGATTGTCTCACAGTATTGCCAACTCAGACACATGGAGAATGAGGAGGAGGAGAGCTGTACATCAGTGTAGGCAGTGAAGTTGGAGAATGAGTGATAAAAATGAACAAAAGCATTTTTTTCTGTTTTTTTTCCTGATTGTTTTATTGCGCATCACTTGGCTTGAAGAGATACATTCAGTTTTTCAAAATAAAAGCCCTTCACTGAAGGTGAGAGTGCTGTCACTCACAGAGGGACAAACGCAACACATTTGACTTTTGCAGACAAAAACAACAACGCAGTCTGTTAAAATACAGACGGTATTCGAGTCATATACAAGTATGAGTATTTAAACATCACAAATATTCTTAAGACATGTTCAACATGAACAAGTGTGTAAATAAATCACTGTTAATGTGACTGGAAATACAGAAGAATTCTCACTGAGAATAATAACAATGTGAACTTCACACCTTCAACTACAGACTGTAGTCAAACTGATGGCTGCAAATATCACAGAACAAAACACAGCTTTCACAAAAGCTTATAAAAAAGAAAAGAACTCTACATTTAAATATGCAATAATACATTTTTTAACAAGTCCTTTTCTGTCTACCACGGCCTCCAGGGGGCACTGCTGGCCAGATTCTTGTTTTTGGTGCCGCAGCTGTGGACTGTGGAGCTCAGAGGAGAGAAGTCGGCCTCTGTCAGGTTGTTGTCAGAGGAGGATGACATCTGGTTGAACTGCTTCATCATCAGTTTTTTCTGTGACTGTGTCTTCAGCTCCTCACTGGACAGGAAGTGAGCCACCGCCTGGACACACCTGGAGTAGCCTTGATGGACAACTGTTGAGTCCTCAGGTCGGTTCTTCTGCCGCTGCAGCTGTGTCAGGAAGAAAACTGTCATCTCCAGGATGTCTGCTTTCTCCAGCTTGGAGTCTGGCTGCTGTTTGAGGAACTCTGGACCCAGGAGAGACTTGAGCTGCTCAATGCTGCTGTTGATTCTCTCTCTGCGTAACTTCTCCACCAGAGGCTTTCTGAGCTGCAGGGAGAAGAGCAAAGTCATCAATCAGCTGATCCTGGAGTCAAGTGTGAGCATGGACAGAGACAATGTGTCCTGAAGGAAAATGACCAGAGAATGTTGGATTTACCTTGTGAGTCCCAGTCAGATGATGATGATGATGATGCTGCTGCTGAGAGTTGGTCACTGCTGCAGTGATTGTAGGAGCCATGTCTGGATGTGTGTGCTGTAGAGGTCTCTGTAGAGAGAGTCTGATCTCTGCTGGCTTCATCCTCCTATTTATAGTCCCACATCTCCATATGAATGTGTGGGTCTGGGTCTGACTGCACTTTCTCACACTCTCAGCCAATCACAGAGCTCCTGGAGACAATAAGGGATGCTAGACACTGAATGGTGTTATTGCCTGAGGGATAATGGTTAGGTCTCGGGGGAACAGGTGGAAGACTAAAGCGTGGAGGGTGGGGGACTCACAGAGCTCCGTGTGAATCTGGGAAAGTGGTGACCCTGTAGAGAGACGGGGAGCAGATCGATGACTCTGAGTGAGCACACGCTGATCATCTTATCTCAGGAGCATGAGAGAGAGATTATGAAAACATTACTGTTTCCTTTTATCCTAAATCTGCAGATGATGATACGGATAGAGTCATGGTTTACCCTGAGGAAATTATACACAGGCTAAACTGTGGCTCCTAGTTTCTCCCAAATGCATAAGCAACAATTCTTAGAAAATTCGTTTTTTTAAGAATTAACAAATTATTATTAAACCTTTAACATCTATCCAACACAAATAAACTGAAAAAATGTACGTTTTGTCAATGTGTATGTTTAAAATAATAATAATAATTGTTTTGCTTTTCTCAAAGGTGACTATTAGCTCCAAATTCATCATGATTCTAAACAAGGGTCTGAGTTGGACCTCTTCTTCTTTGACCTGTCAAAATAAACCGTCTGGAATGCAGAAGAACAATGTGATTCCAAAAACCTGAATAAAAATGAGGCTTTTGAATCTTCATTAATCCTTGGCGTGACTGCATTCCTTTTTGGAATTTTTACAAAGACTTGGTCATGACCAGACCTGATGGCAGGAATTTCCATTGGGAGACAAGACTCGTAAACTGACTCCATAATTAATGTGATGTGCAACCAGACACACTTCTTTTGTTCTTGAAGGCAGTGAATGGGCAGAGTGTGGGAAACCAGAGAAAACTCACTCACAGAGGCCCTCGGGGACAAAGGAGGCAGAGCAGACAAAGACCACCGGTGGGAGGGGAATTCTTTACTACTGCATTTTTGCTGTTTATATCCACATCTGTTTTAGATCTTTAAAGATGACAAAATAGATTTGACAAAACAATTTTACTTTATGAAGAAAAAAAAAGTCATTTGAGGCAAATAAAAAGTAGTATTTAGAATTTTTAAATTAATAAATATTTTATGACACATGAAATCTGAGTATTTATATTAATAAAATAAAGTTAGCAGCCACATTTAATTTATTTATTGTTATTTAATTTAAAATTAAATGGGGCATTAGCAAATGCATCTGTCAACACTCCTGCTACTACTACAATGACTACTACTACTATAATGACTACTATGCGATGACTACTACTACTACTACTATAATGACTACTATGCTACTATTAATAATAATAGTAATAATAAAGTAAAACAATAATTATTGTTGTTGTTGTTATTGGATTTTTTGTTGTTGTTATGGTTATGATGATAATACAAAATAATATAATAACTATAATAATAATACACTACTATACACAGCCTCAAACCATTCAAATACAAGTATTCACTTGGTCATAAAATACTTTCTTTAACAGAACGCTTAAGCCCAAAAAGTAAAATCAATATTTGCCTATGTGAAAACACATTTATTTTGAATACCAAACAATGGCATTTGTATCCAAATGCATTCAGGTAATTGGTCGTCACTTTACATCACTCACCAAAATATTTGTGTTTATCTGCAGCCCACTTCTCCCTAATTGAGGGAGAGTGTCCAACAACAAACTCCGTAGCCTCGGGGGAGATCTGGGATCAGCGTGTGTGCAGATGAATTAGCATTTAACAAGGCACATGTCTATTGTTGAGTGGAGCAGAGTGTGGGAAAGCCTGAGAGAGAGGAGTCACAGTTGAGTGTGATTAGCATCCTCCAGCCCACCAGACCTGACTATTCTCCAAAGGGAGTTGGCACACTCCACAGCAAGACTTTCCCGCTCCTTCCAGCCTCTGTTTTCCTGCCTTGTCTCTTTCTGTCTGGTGCCCACTCATTAACTTCTGCCAACCTAATTTCTCCTCTGTTTTACTCGGTCATCGTTTCAATCGGAGCTTTTCTCTTTTTTCCATTGGTGCTTGCCAAACTGTCGGAGTCGGCTCTAAAGTCTTTTGTTTTGCAGTTTAGACACAAATGGGATTTTTGTATAAAAGCCATGTATTTAAGAAATAACAACACGTAATCTTAGTAATTACATGCAGAGAAAGACCCAGCGGTTTAGACACTATCTGAATTAACCAGGCTAAATTAAGAGGAGAACGTTATCACACAGAACCTTTATCAACAGCTTAGAATCAAACCCTTCTAATCCTAGTGCTGCTTCCTTGACTGGCGCTAGGATCAGAAATGACTTGGTTTATTGGTATAGTACATTATTTTAAATAAATGCCATCTCAGACATTGAAGTATATTGTTATCCAAGAAAGTAAAAACTTAATTAACAATAATTAGAAAGGGAAGAGTTACAGAAAGGGTAACATGCAGCAAAATAGCTTAAAGTTTCTAGGAAATGCTAAAAGAAATTAGGCATAGATAACGAGGACAGTCAGTGGTTCAGCACCTTTGTCTCTGTGAGGCTCTGTGATTGGCTGAGAGTGTGAGAAAGTGCAATCAGACCCAGACCCACACATTCATATGGAGATGTGGGACTATAAATAGGAGGATGAAGCCAGCAGAGATCAGACTCTCTCTACAGAGACCTCTACAGCACACACATCCAGACATGGCTCCTACAATCACTGCAGCAGTGACCAACTCTCAGCAGCAGCATCATCATCATCATCATCTGACTGGGACTCACAAGGTAAATCCAACATTCTCTGGTCATTTTCCTTCAGGACACATTGTCTCTGTCCATGCTCACACTTGACTCCAGGATCAGCTGATTGATGACTTTGCTCTTCTCCCTGCAGCTCAGAAAGCCTCTGGTGGAGAAGTTACGCAGAGAGAGAATCAACAGCAGCATTGAGCAGCTCAAGTCTCTCCTGGGTCCAGAGTTCCTCAAACAGCAGCCAGACTCCAAGCTGGAGAAAGCAGACATCCTGGAGATGACAGTTTTCTTCCTGACACAGCTGCAGCAGCAGCAGAATCAGCAGCAGAGACTGACGATCAACAACTTCAACCAGCTGCACTGTTCCTCTGACAACAACCTGACAGAGGCTGACTTCTCTCCTCTGAGCTCCACAGTCCACAGCAGTGGCACCAAAGACAAGAGCGCCCCCTGGAGGCCGTGGTAGAAACCTACAGACTGGAATTAAAGGACTTGTTCTGTCTTCTGTGTGCAGAAGAAAACGTCTGTGTATATTCTCTCAGGAAAAGAGAGAGATAATGTTGTTGTGCATATTGCATCAATCTAATTTAATTACATGAGTAATTATTATTGTAACTTTTGTTACTTTATGTATTGGTCCATTGTTTACATTTGCAGTGGAACTGATTATTACATTGTCAGACATTTTGTTCAAAAATGTATTTGCTTGAGCAAAGTTGTATTTGTTTCATTTGAAACACAGCTAATGTATTGTATTAATACAATTTTCCTTATTGCATGTTCTAATGTTTCATGTTGAAAATGGTCCTTGTTGACCAATATTTGTATGTGTACCTGACATTCCTCTAGTCTCCTGTCTTGGGATTAGATTTGACCTATTTATCATTTTCTACATCTTTTTGATGTGCTTTCATTTTCTTTACAATGTGAAATATGTTTGACCCATATTGGGTCTTAAAGTCAATGCATCTGTCATTGTGTTTGACATTAATGTCAAGGTAAAAGATGAAAATGACTCTGAAAGTTAACTTTTAGAGACAGAAAACTGGTTCAATGTGTTTGGACTAAAAAGTTTACTTGTTATCAGACAAGAAATATTGTGATGCATCATCACCACCATTGCATATAAGATGTGACCTACCTATTACCTTTGAATAAAAAAAATAATCTCAACCTCTCAGGTGTATCATGTTTTTTTTTTTCAAATTAATAAAACATTATATAGCATTAAAATTGCAAAGACTGCAATGTGCAAAGACTGTAACTCTCCAGGTTTTTGAAGTGCAAAATCTTTAAGTTGATCTCTTAAATCTTAATTGGCAACAAATAGTGGAGCGACATATAATTAAAAATACAATTGGGTTACAGCATTTTATATGACATTTCTATTATTTTTAATCGATTAAAGAACCACAGATTTCTTCAAATGTCAAATGATGTAACCACAAAAACATGACAAAGATTAATTAATTCACACTACCAAATGTTGAAATAACATTTTGTTATGAAGTTTAATCTGAAAGTATATTTAAAATATTTTTATCATAAATATCTATAGAATCATAAAGAATTCCGTTTCAAAATCAGTACTTCTGGTGTTGGGACGTTGTTATGTTATTTTATTGTAAAGTTAATGTTTACACAGATAGCATAAATATATTTTACAATTCAAAAGTTTCTAAAGCTGCATTTATTTGGAAAACAAAGTAGAATACCCTATATTCTATTTATATAAAATATTCCTCAAAATCATTTTTAATTTTAGTTCGTACTATTACACACCGCGTCACCACTGTTTTGTTTTTCTCCGAGTTTTTCCTCCGTCCGTGAAGGTATCACTGAGCTGGTCCGGGCTAAACAGCGTCAGTGACGCGATGTGTCATTTCGTTGGATAAATTGGAAACCGAGCGTCGACAGAGCCTCACTGCTGTAACGGGGTATAATGTTGGAGAATAACCCTTAGCCTGGGCGCTACTGAAAAAAAGATTTTCCTCACGTTTATTTGCACTGTCGCTCATTTAAAAGACAATTTAGAATGGGGTTGTTTTCTCCGGCGGGAAGTACTTCCCTCGCTGTGGTGACTTTGTCGCTGTTCGCTTTCGTCCTCTGCTTTTCTCACGGTAAGATAACGGCTCTTCATCCAGGCCGCCCAGTTAGCTGACGCTTTAACATGTTTTAATCCACAATGAGTGGGTTTTTTGTCCGACCAGGCCTTTCTCTTTTCTACTATATTCTTAACAAGCAGACCCTCTCCGTATCATCCTGGTCCTCTCATGGTGTTCATTTCAACTAGTTTACCTCCATGTTTATACAGGCCCGGTTCTAATGCTATATCTCCCAATTAGCATTAACTACTTAATTTCTACTGGTCTTCTACTGACACATTTATTCAGTCACTGACCAATTTGTTCAGTTTAATTTTGCACTAATCGATTAATCGCCATGAAATAACCTTCTGCTGTCTTAGTAGTTAAATTATATTCCCAGTCAAATTTCAAACCCTTAAAGTCAAACAATATTATCAAGACTCAATGCTTTATCGAAGCATAAACGAATTGTATTTTCGGTCAAAATCGATATTTGGGTGTGGTATTGTCTATTAAGCTAAAGGTTTGCCTAAATTTCTCGAATGGAACTCCCTAGGGATTAATAAAGTGCTATCTATCCATCTATCTATCTAGGTATCACATCATAGGTTTAGGTTTTTGTACAAAATGTCAATATAAGTTTTCAACAGACAACTTGCAAAATGTTTATAAACGTTATAAAACTTGAAATGCAAATCCACAATTCCGTTTAAAGGGACTATGAACGTTAACCTGTTGCGGTTATACAGTCTGTTATTATTTTATTTTATACTCATATAGATTCAGTAGGCGGCACTGTTGTAACTTAAGTGGTGCAGAGCTGTTTAGGTCGCCACCTGTGACGTCTCTTTGAATATTAATTAATAGAATAATATTGTCTTGCACTATGAAAGATTATAGTGATGCGAACAGTTTTAACAGGGATCGAACCGGTGACCATCTAGCATGACTCTATAGACAGATTCACAAGGTATTTAAATTGGTATTTACAGTAAATCTTACAGTACATCCAGGAGAACCCAAGGAAGTGAGACTGACATGTCATAGAATTAGAAGTAAATTTATCAGTTAAATAAATGATGTTTTGACTCCTCCCTATAACCTTTGTTAAACTTTCTAAACATTTATTTTGGTCTTGTTTTGTAGCCAGTGGTAACGAAGACTGTCTGTGGTACGTGGACAAAAATGGCACCTGGCACAATGGCTTTGACTGTCCTCTCATCACATTCTGCTGCGGCAACTGCCAACGGCGTTACTGCTGCCTGGACACTTTCAAGATGATCACCGAAAGGGAACAGAAGAGATGTATGCTTTTCCAGTTCAGGTAGACAGCAGTTTAATGTATTTGACATGATGTTAAGTCTTTTAATTAATGACCTAAAAAAAGACCACCAGTATAAGAATATCAGCCATTTTTATAGAGACAATAATCTATACTTTGTTTTTAATTTGATACATTTTTCTATTGGTGGCATTATTAATATAATTATTTGCAAAGCTTATTCCTGGAAGTGTATTTTGGTAGTTAAAATAGCAATTCTAATCCACTTAAAGGTAAATCCTGAAATGTAAGAAAGTGTGCAGAAAGTTAATGTTTGTTGAGCTGGTTGTGTTGTCTGGGACAATGGCAGTGACCTCGATAGATACAGTACTAGGCAACAAGGACAATAAGTAACTAGCCGGGTAACAGGAGAAGCTAATGAAGAGAAGCCGTCTGACCCTGAGGATATCATTCTGAGCTTAAATGTCAGACTCAGTGACTGGATGAAAATGCAAGACGAGTAGTAACAGTTATTTCCATTATTGATTAACCATCAAAAAATATTTGAAGTAGGACCATGGACCATGTCGTGCAGGGAAATGTGTGGAGTGATGTTTTGTCTCTCCCAAACGTAAATATAATAATAATAAGTTCTTAAATTTGTGTCTGGACACTAAAAATGTAGGCGACTACTACAGTAAACACACAAAAAAACAACAGGTCTTTCCTACAAAAACATCTCTTTTCTAGAAAACCTACAGTTTTATGTGCTTCCTTCAACAGTGGTTTCTGCTCTCAGTGATCATTTTAAATCATGTTCTGTCTCAACCAGGACACATTATCCAAATCATTTGCTTGTTATTGTACATAAACATCCTGCTCTCTCTTTACTCCTGGGCCTAGTCATCCACTCTGTGGTGTGAGGCATGGTCACTAAAATACAAACAAAACGGTGCACACTCACAGAAAGTGTAGTTCGCTACATCGCAAAAGCGTAACCCCACAACCCTCAAAAGCCCCTAAAATACATGTTCTTTTTATAAGATGTAAACTGAGTGGTGTGTCTGTTTTGAGGGGCATTTAGGTACCATCGGAAATTTGAGAATTGTTTTTAAAAAAAACTAATAGCAAAGAAAATGTATTGCATTTGAATGGGTAAACTTGCATATGATATATACTGTATTATCATGACATTAGTGGTTAGATCTCAGAATAATGTTGACAGAATTATCGTTTATCTTCAGTAATTTTTGAGACAATATATCGTCCAGCTAAATTTGTTATCGTCCCAGGCCTTAGTCCATATTTAATCAATAGTCAATGCGTTGTGTAATGTTTTCAAGTCCAACCTGACATGTTTTGGTCACACCATGATATTGAACAGAATATTTCTCCTTTTTGCTTCATACTGTCTCTTGGTCCCGCCACCTAACCAACTGCAGTGATTGGCTTGTGCCTTTTTTTTTTAAATCTTGATTTTATAGATTGACTAACGTGGCAATACACTTTGCATAGTTGTTGTCATTTGCTCCCTCATAACTTCATATTTAGGTTTGTTTAGTCTGTTGTCCTAGGAACAGAAGGTTGTTGACCAAAATTGTCCTTGAAGTCCCTGAAATTAACCCTGGCACTAATACTTGTGTTTGTGCTGCATTCAGAGAGAACGCAATAGATTTGATATGAACAGACTTTGTCTGAAATCAAATTTGATCTTGTAAATGTCGTACAATGTGAAAAAAAGGGTTGATTTGCAAAACCTCAATGTTACTTTTAAATACCTGAGAAATGCAACTTTCCATTGAAATGCCAGGCACACAATAAGTAAAGAAAAGAGGACGATCTGGGGATGTTCACAAAGGAAACCAGCCTGTGTCATACCTTCTTTTGGCCACATTTGACAGAATTACCCCGTTTTTTGGGTCCCCACAGAGCAATGTCTTCTCATTAGTCTCTTTGTTGCGTCAGCTCTCTTTTGTGTTAAATGGTGTTTGATTCTCCCTTGAGGAATCCTGATAATGCAGCGCTAAGCAAGCTTGTACCTCAGAGCTTACAACATGGCTTTTCCCCCTGCACAGCACTGGAAACCATCCATCACTATCTAGAAGTGAGCAGACAGTCTGTACCTTATTAATCCCTGTGGGAAATCACAGCAATGTCTGGTGGAGGCTGTGGTAACACGGCTAGTTAAAGGGATTTTTCTTTCCTTCTTCATGTCCACAGGTCATATTAAGCAGTCTCTCTACAGGTGACTGAGAACTAAACTTACAAAGCGATAGATCGCTGTCAGATTGAAAAGGAGTATATCTGCGACTGTAGACTTTTCAAAACGGTCCACTGTCAAAAAGATGTGCTCTTATTGACCCGCGTCTCATCGATGTGGTAAATTCAGGCAGCAGCCAAAGGAGTAAACAGTCATAAATGATAAGAAGATAATGAGGCCTGAGGAAGGCTTATTGACTGTTGTTGTGTGTTTGGGCTTGGTCTGTGATGTTGTGTCTCAGTCACAGCGTTGTATGAAACTGACCTGAATCAATAAATATTGATGAAGAAAATACTTTGTAATTCAGCTCTACTGCTTTGTATGCTTCTCTCCCAGCCCCACCACTTTAGCAGGCATCGCTTCCTCCATCCTCCTGTTTGTGGCCATCATTGCCACCATGGTCTGCTGCTTCATGTGCTCATGCTGCTACCTTTACCAGAGGAGGCAGCAGAGAGGCAGAACACCGTACGATGGTAAGAACAGGCTCTTCTCCTCATGCCCACCACGTCATATCAGAACAAGCAGTGTGTTTATGAGCACAGTCCACGAGTATGTCCGCCACCACTCTGAACCCATCAGTGTTGGTCTGTCTCTGGATGACCTTTGACATTTTACACCGAAACACAGAAACACAAGAAGAGTAGAAACATTTACAGCACTGTACGTTTTGTATCTGCTGTGGTTTTTTAACTGTTTTACAAGTGCAGGATGTGAGAGAGATGATAAAGAAGCAGTATGATCCTGGAGTGTGCTATCAGCAAGATAGTCTGTTCTTCAGTTACATTTTGCCCTGGGGAATGACCTAAAGAGCACTAAGGTCACTTTAGGTCAAATTTGTTTTAAATATTTAGAATACAGTCTGCCTCGATTAGTAAATTTGATTTATGGTATTTTTTGCAACAAAGATTTATTTTCAACATTTTTTATCAGGCCTACTCAATTGTTCCAATGTTTAACATCCAACTTCCTTTAAAAAAAGTTTAAAAATATTTTTTTTACCCACAGCCCAGCAAATCCCCATGGCCAGCTACCCCCTGGAGCCTATGTATGATGCTTATGGGAAACCTTTGGGACCTTCTGACTATCCTCACCCAGGTTATCCTATGCATGCCCAGTATCCAGGAATGCCCCCACAGTACCCAGCCATGCAGCCTGGACCGTATCCACTACATCCAATGGATCCTTCATACAGCCAAGGTGAGACAAGTGTTACAGAAAAGATTGTTGTTATCATTCTGTAAACAATTCACCCAGTTTCTTTCTTTAGAATCTTTTCTGCTACTTCGTGTTCATTTTATCACAATTTATGTGTGGTCTTTATGTTTTAGTCTAGTGTAATGTTTCAGTGGTGCAGTAACCAAGTCCAGACAGTGCCCTCCTGTGGCCAAAGATGATAAGGGGTACAGCATAAGTCACTTTAGAATATAAGTCGAGCCAAACCACACAAAGAACTACTCCAGAAAATATAGTAATATGTTCAAACTAACTTTAATTAACTATCATTTAAATGATGAGGATGTTTTTGTTTGTGTTTCAGCTCCTCCTCCATATTCTCCTCCGCAGTATCCCGGTCATTGATGGGCTCCTTTGCTCTCACACACACTCACACACACACACACTCACACACAAAACCAACACCATAGATAGCACACAGAGTGTTCCAGCAACAGCAGCTGAAAGACACGTCTCTTTGAGAAGGCAGCGAAACTCTTCCAGACAAAGCCACACACTGACACTTCAGCTTGACTAACAATGATTAACGTGTGACAGAGAAGCAGACTGAGGCACTTTAAAGTTGTTTTTTGTTCGTTTGTTTTTGTCCTTGTTTGTTGTCAACGATGTGTGACATTTGTGCAGTATAAATCAGAATCTATTCTGAAATCTGACGCCTGAGTTTCCCTGGGTGGGTCTTATGGAGGGCAGCACACCCCATCACCCCCACCCCTTTTCCAAAAATAGGAGCTCTGGGATTGGCAGTGTGTGTGTGTGCTAACTCTGATCTTAAACTCACCCCAGTGTTGACTAAACACAAGACTTTATTAGGAGCTGGAAGAGATTTAAACAATAACAGTGAAGTTTCCTTTTATTGACTAACTAGAAACAAAAACACTTGATTTAACTCACCTTTTGTACAGTTTGACTACTTAATATCTGGCTACGGTGACACTCCACGCCACTGAAGTTTGTGTTCTGTTAGGAAGTTCGTGCTAATGTAAAAAAAAAAAAAACAATAGATGCATGCCTGATTAAAAAGGTTTGTGCTGAGTATAAGCTGATTCTGTTTTACATTCTTACACTATGTTACCTTTAGTCTCCGACTCGTTGCTCCATGATGTGAGCTGCACCTTCCTGTCATGACATCAGCATGCTACCCAGTTAGTGTTGTGTTTTTTTCCAGACTGAACCATCCACTCCTGGACTAAAATATTGTTTATGAGCTTCATAAAAATGCATTTTGTGTAATCTTGGTTTTTTTTTACCAGGTACTATTGTTGGTACTTGGTATTGGTCTTGTGACATATAAAGTCAGGGTAGCTGCATGTCATGCTTCTTGGTTAAAAACATAATGTCCAGCCTAACACAGACTAATGAGAGACTTAGATTAACTATGTAAAGAGATATTTTCTAAATCTGCTCTTCTCCTATATTTAATTTTTTTTTTTATTTAAAAAATATTTAACAAGAAATTTAAAGCACTGTATTGTAAAACTTCAGGCATCTTTTCATTTGCTATTTATTACCATGAAGGGCAACTTTAACTGTGAATGAGTGCTCAGTTCTCAAACTTCTCTCGACTAAAAAGCCAAAAAAAAGTGACCGATATGTGTATGTTTTTTTTGGACCACCTCCGATTTAAAAAAAAAAAAGAAAAAAAAAAAAATTCTGTTACTGCCAAGCCCATTAATTCACCTGGATGTAGCAATATCTCAGAAAACTCAGAAAATAATATTTGTTGTTCTGTTAAATCTGTTACATAAAAAAAGGAAATGTAAGACACCTGGTATTTTGAGATTGTTGTAAACTTTTAATCTGTTTATTACAAAAGTAAAAGCAACATAGAAAGATTTTGTATATTGAGTGGGTCTAATTTGTGGAGAGAACTTTTTTTTTCCTTTTGTAAAAAGAAAAGTGACCATCACCTTTTGTCCCACAGTCAACACACTGCTAGTGCTAATTGTCCACTTCATTGTGCCGATATAAAAGTTTTAATTGTGAGCAAGAGTGTAATCTTTTGTCAGGTGTTTTTTTACAGGTAACATAAGGTCACATTTACTAATAAAATGTACAAATACCCACTCTAATACCCTTTGGAATATAGCAGGGACCTGTAACCTTCAGCACTAAATTAGATATGATCAAGAGCTGCACAGACATTTCAAACTGTTGAAGTTAACAGTTTGGTACATGAAGTTTGAAATACTAGTAATATGACAAATAACATTTCAACATTTCTACACTGCTAGTAGTAATGTCACAGCTGCTCTTGAAAGTGGATTGAATTTGGTCCATTGACAAATGTCATCCTACATGGAGCCAATACAAAAAGAGGTTGAAGATCTCTAGTACATAATCTCAGTAGCCTCACAATACTTGTGTGGCAGAGTCTTAACTAGAGGGAGTACTTCAAGTTTGTGTACTCCTCAAATTATATTTCTGTTATTGTGTACACTGCATATCTGGGCTGTGTGTAAATGAATCAATCTGTGCGTTTAATATTTTGTACAGTTGAACACAGGCCTGGTCCCTTGTCATTTGTATGATCTGTAAACAATGACTCTATCAGCATGTGTTCATTTGTGGACAGTCATAAACAACATGTGATGCCTTTGTTTTGGTGTAATTTTTTTTCAGTTTTAAATTTAAATGAGGCACAAAATAAAATAAATTGATTTAATTCTATTTTTTTTAACCTTTAAAACAAAAGTCCCACAACGCCATTTATAGACGACCAAATGGTTGAGTCTAATATTTGCTTGACATTTCTTATCATTTCTGCTTATAAACAACCATGTTAATATCTGAAAGGAATTTTTTGTGTAGTTGTCATGGGGACGGTGAGACAGTGTAAAACATAGCAATGAAAACGTTTTTATTCCTGTTAACATTAAATTTAACTTTGGAATGTTAAAATATAACCATGTACTGTGTTTTTTATTTATTACGCCCACATTTAGATTATAAAATAAATAAAATCATAACATTACGAGAAATTAGCTGGTATTGATGACAACAAATAAATATATTTATGTAAATTGTTTCGTAATTTTTAATCTCACAATTTAATGTATTATATTCCTAATACGTAGTACCTATTGTATTGAATATCAACGGAAATGTATGTCTTAAATTTGGCCACTAGATGGCGTCGTTCTCTACTATAACTTTTGAATATATTAAGAACCGGATCATTTTAAACATGTCTAAACATATCTTTTTAAGTGTAATGGAAACATTATAAATGAATAATGTAAATGTACAAATTAAAAAATAACTTCTATGGGAATTAGCACCTGTGACACACTGCAACTGCAACCACTGGGTGATGTGTCCTTGTCTTAATTATAGTAATAGTCATACAACAACATCAAAACTGTATAAAACTTTTATTTTTTTCAAAAGCAAGCATCTATTAGAGAATGATACAGAATAATAATAAAAAAAAACAACCTGCAGCTGTTCACCATCAGTCCTGGACAAATAATGAGAAAGAAGTCCCAGTATAAACATTGATTGTGTAATAGAAAGTCACTCTGGCTCCACTCTGGCATCTGTAAACTTTAGCCCTCCCCATTACCTTTAAAGGAGTGTGTACCCTGAACTAAATATGGACATGCACTTTCAGAGGATTCTGAAGAATGTCTCAGCCTCACAGGCCACTTTGATGATGCGAGCGCGGGTGCAGTTCGTCACTGGTACCCCTGAATGCAGCTCAGAGAGTCCAGCCTCTTTGTATCAGGATTGATGCTTGTGGTGGCGTTGTGGTAACCAGGACGTGAGTGGACAGCAGGACATCCAGGAGGACAGCATCTCTGAATATTTGACCTTTCACACGAAGATAACTTTAAATAAATAAATTCTGACTTCAATTTATGAGATTTGCTGCACAACCAACTCCAGATACCACATTTTCAAATTTTTGACCTCAGCCTAGATTTGAATTCTTTGGCGACCATGTCCAGGAGAAAGGTGAGGGGCCTGACCCGAACGGGCCGCCAGGTAAGTGAGGACCCCGACCTGGACACCCTGCTGTCCACCCTCTCCCCTGAGGAGATGGAGGAGCTGGAAAAGGACATGATGAAGGTGCCCGACCTTAAACCAGAGGATGGGGCGATCATCGTCCAGGGGGAGAGCCAAGGTTTTCAGCCGTCTACCACCAACAACTTGTTGGATGCTAAATGTGACAGCAGACGGCAGAGTGACACTAAAGGGAGGCTCAGTCAGAGGGACCAGTCATTTGAGGTTAGTCGATATCCATGTCCTTTGCATATGCAGTTGTACTGCAGCTTACTTTAGGGTGAATCAAAATGAGTAGTTTGTTTTTGTTTGTTTTAACAAAGCACCGTCTCTTTTCTGTTTTGCTAATAATAGCATTATAAACATCAGTCCTGTCAACAGCTGCTCCCCCAGAGTCAGCCTGTGTGCCAGGAAAAACAATCAACCTCTGCAATCATTATAAACCATTAGTCTTTGACCTTCTGTTGACACACACAGTATAAAGTCACTGATGTGAATGTTTCAGTTTATGTTTTTTTATTTTAAAGTATACATCGGTAAAGGAAATGGCACTCCTGTGGAGCTCCCATCTTAATCCCATCTGAGTGGAATTCTGTGCTTGATTGCTCCTACGCTCACTGCCTTTTAAGGACTCATCTGCCAGGGCCGCGGCCTCGCCTAGCAAAGCAGTAGCAGGGACTCACAAATCAAACACTCAGCGAGCTTCTCTCTGCGAACGTATCCCTGCACTATAAAATCCTGGATCCCTCTCCTCTGCCCAACTGTAAACACACATGCCGTCATGTGTCACGGAGAATGCGTCTGTCTGTGTGTACTCTGAGCAGATGGATGAGGAGCAGTTGTACTGTAAATAATCTCAGTAATTACACACAGGTATGTGCATTAGTGGCTGTTGTTTAATGCTCTTCAGTCCCTGCAGTATATACTGTAAATGTCAGGAAACATGTTTGGCAAAGACAACATATTTAAACACAGCAGCCTTCTGTTGAGTGCTGACGTACTTAGAAAGTTTAAAGATGAAGATGAATGTGCAGTAAAATCAATGCTCATTCCAATAATTTGGAAAATAATTTCCATAGTCAACAGCAATGTAGCTGAATTATGTGCAAACTATTTCCAAAGTACTTGTATTACTGAAAAGTGTTTGTTCTGTGGTATTTTCTGGCGACATTGAACATAATGGCCACATTTAAATGCCACTACCACAGTGCCACACAGTGGTCACAGACAGCTAGACTGCCAATTTGCTCATTCATGCAGGGCCCTGTGTTTGCCAAAGGAGTTTGCTAATGCTAATGCTAACGTCGAACATCGGCAGCGGGGGTATAGCTCAGTGGTAGAGCATTTGACTGCAGATCAAGAGGTCCTTGGTTCAAATCCGAGTGCCCCCTCAATGTTCTCTTGGTACTTTTATTTTATCCAAGGGTTTTTTGTTTTGTTTTATACGACCAATGAAGTACTTGGGGAAAAATAACTTTTATTGTTAGGCCTTGGGTACAGACTCAATCAGTCAAAACAAGGTCAGCCCTCTACTCCTTCAACTGTCTAGTTCCACAGAAACAACCTTTATTTTTCCCCAGCATAAATAATAATAAAACAAATGACTACCTTTTGGATAAAAACAAGTAGTGTTCATCATACTGTAATTATAACTGCCTTTACATTGTAACATGTTTTTTAACATTATTTTTGTCCCACCTGCAGGGTGATCCGAAGAAGGAGAGTCGCAAGCAAGAGTATTTGAGAAAGATGGGCCTGAGCCAGGAGGGCAGTGAGGACATCAATGATGGGCTACAAAGACAGGCCAGTGACTCCAGTGAAAGAGATGCCAAGGTGGACAACAGGAATGGCAAGGGCCCTGAAAGATCAAAGGAGGAGAGCAGCCAGGTTTCTGGTAGATACAGGAAGCAGCCTTGCAAAGGCATCGATGCAAAAGAGAAAAATGATGAAGAGAAATGTGAAGACAACAGGCTGAGAGACAGAAAAGAAACCAGGGAGAGCAGTGGCAGTAAAACCAAGGATATGATCTCCAGACTACAGGAGAAGAAGGAAGACAGCAGAGAAAAGGAGAGAAGAGAGGACGGCAAAAGAAGAGATGAGAGCAAGACCAAAGACATTATCTCAAAGCTGCGAGAGAAAAGTGAAAAGGAAAAGGAGAGAAAATCAGAGAGCATCAGAACACAAGGACTAGTCTCCAAATTGGTGGAGAAGCAGAGCAGAGCAAAGGAAAGCCCGGAGAGTAAATCAGAGGAGAGGCCAAAGGCCAAAGCCGAGGAGAAGAAAGCTCAAGATAAAAGCAAAAGTGATGTCAGGCTTGAGCGCCCCCTGACTGAGGAAGGTGACACGCGCGTGAAGCATGACAAGGCAGAACAAAGAACGGACAGGGAGGAGCTGGTCAACCACACTGACCATGTGAAAGAGAAGGTGAAGAAAACAGACGAGGAAAAGAAACCAGAGGGGGAAAAGGAAGGAGATGAGAGTAAAGAAAACGTTAGCAAAGCAACAGAATCGGTGAAACTTGGCAACTGTGTTTCCAAAAACACCCCAAACAGCAAGACAAAGGAGGAAGAGGTGGATGAAGACGCAAGCATGTTTGACGAACTGATGGAGCAAGTACGCAGCAACGACCCCTCCCTCACTGAGCTCAATGTCAACAACTCAGAGGTCATCAAGACCAAAACGCTCATTGAGTTTGCAGAGGCGTTGCACAACAACAGCCACGTGAAAACATTTGCTCTGGCCAACTGCCGTGCAGACGACCACGTGGCTTACGCCATCGCTGGCACAATACGCAACAACGACACCATCACCAGCATCAACATTGACTCCAATCATCTCACTGGCAAAGGCATCCTGTCTCTGATTCAGGCCCTGCAACATAACTCCACGCTGACAGAACTTCGCTTCCAGAACCAGCGTCACATCTGCGGCGGCAAGACCGAGATGGAGATGGTGAAAATTCTGAAAGAGAACACCACCCTCCTCAAACTGGGCTACCACTTTGAACTGGCGGGGCCCAGAATGACCACGACAAACATACTGAGTCGAAACATGGATCGGCAGAGGCAGAAGCGTCTGCAGGAGCAGAAACAGGCTCAGGCTAATGGGGAGAAGAAGGAGTCACTGGACGTGCCCAAGTCAGGAGGAGGGGGCTCCCTGAGGAGCTCACCCAGAGCGTCCCCCAAACCTTCTCCCCTACCCTCACCTATGCCCTCACCAAAGCTGACGCCAAAGAAGAGAGCAGGAGGACCCGCTCCACCGCCACCACCACCTCCTCCTGGTGGTGGACCTCCACCTCCTCCTCCACCTCCTATGATTGATGGAGATACCCCAAAGAACTCTCCTAGTCGTGGTAAAAACTCCAGGGACCAACTGCTCGCTTCAATCAGAGGAAGCAACATTATGCAACTCAAGAAGGTATGTTTATTGTGCGTTTATGTTGAGGTTAGCTGACGGACGTTACCGTACATTTAACCAAACGTCTTGTTTCTGTTCCAGGTGCCAGTACCAAAATGGCTGCAGTAAAGGTTCTTGTTGGAATGTAAAGCCTGAAAAGAACTTAGGAAGAACCAACATAGGGGGCGGGGGGTATCATGGAACCCTGGCTGCAGCTGAAGAGTTGTACTGGAGAATGTGAAACAGCGCCATCATCAGTTGAATGAAATGCCCTAACAATGACTTCTTCCCTCACACACTGGACCAAAAAGACCCTGTGGAGAATGAGTGATGTGGGGCTTCACGTAAGACTGCCACCTGTTGGCGGTTGATTGTCTGTAGTTCAGAATGATGCTTTGCTGGTTATTTGCACTAGATGAATATGAAGCCGGTCACATAACATGTTGGCTCGTGTATATTGGAAAGTTAGCCTGGCAGGATAGGAGATTTAAAAAAAAAAAAAAATTCTAATATACATCATTTTATCAATGATATTTGATATGTATTTATTTACAGACAGTGGAGCCAGCGCATAGCTGTCGCTTGTGAGTTCACTCAAACTAAATCAGGGAATTACTGTAATAAAAACAACAATAGAACAAATCAACAAATCATAGTCATTGATCGCTTCCCACTGCCATATCTCATGACATCTCAGACCCTGTTTATCAGAGAGTAGAACAGCCCAGGGGAGTCCTGGTGTATGGGAAAAGAGTTCATTATAGCCTGCTGTTAATGCTTAACAATCAGTCGCTGTGCTTTGGGATCTGACGATGTTTTTTGTACAGAATTGTTCTAACCTGGATGTCTGAATACCTTAGATAAGTTTTTTCTTATGTCATACATAAATATGTCTTAACCTTAGGGATGAGAAGAACCTTAGTTCCTGCTCCTGACTATTTTCCTTACATGCTCTAAAAGTATTTGAGATTGATAAACATTAGACAGAGTGCCATTTCGGCACTCTGTCTAATGGACCCTCGGCTATATTTAATGACACATGCCTTTCTTTATAAAGCCTGTATGTCTGAAATAAAATATTTTGGTATGTCTACAGTGAGAAGTCATGACTGTGGTGTTGTCACGTGTCATCGTTCTGGGAAGAGTTTAAGTAAAGTGAAGTTAATTGTATTTTACAGACTAAGGATATGAATTAAGTTGTGAATTGCCATTTATATCAATTACTTTGGAGTTTTAAATATGAAATACAGCTACACTTTATATATTTACACATATAGTTTGTATATGTTGCTACAGAGGAAAAAAATGTAAGTTTATTCACTGAAATTCCACTTAAACTTAAAATAGGTACACTGTAAATCAAACCAGAGTGTTGTTTGTCGATGTAGCAGTCCACAGCCCAGGGTGTTCAGAGGAAAAGAGGAGAGCAGAACCAGAGCTAAAGGCCAGTTTATGTTTCTGTGGCCCATGCAGACTGCAGCCTCTATGAAATGCCTATATTTGGTCATTGCTCAATGGAGCCCTGCTCTGCAAGTCATTCCTTTCTTGTTCCTAATAACTGGCAGCGTGCCAACTGCCTGTGCGTTGACTGTAATTCTATGACCAACAACACAAGTCCTGGGTTTAGAAAAATGTTGACATGATGGAAAAAAATATCTCTTAGCTCTAAATTTAGAATTAAAAATATTTGTTTGTAACCCCCCCAAAAAAGACATGTCCTGAAACTTGAAATCTACAAAATATATAATTATTTTATGGTGTGCTTTACTTTACTTTCACAGACAGAATCTAAAAGTATTTCTCACAAGCTTAGGCTCTGGTATCCTGGGCACATGACAGTTAAAACCCATGAAAGCAAACACAAAGTAAAACAGATTAATATAAAAAAAACAGAAAACAGCTTTTTAGTTTTAAAGTTCAATTTCCCCTGTATTGTTCAGCAATAACTGACTTCAAATATGTGTTCTGCAGGTCATGAGGTCACATATATAATACAGAAAACTTAAGATGGTGGGCTGTCTCAGCTGTGTTTCGAATTGTCCATAAACCACACTAAATGCAAGAAGAAACTTACTATTAGAGTTATTTTCAAGACTTTTCTAAAAAAAAAAAAAAAGGAGAGGGAAACCAGAAAAAACAGTAATGCACCAGCAAGGATGTCAGCTGCGGTAAACTCTACTGCCAATAAAAAAACTAAACCGTTTTTAAACTGTCGTTTTTAACTCTAAGTGCAATTCTTTCTGACATAATCCCATGTATTGTAATGTAATGTAATGTGATGTAATGTTGTGTGGCGGCGGTTTCAAAACTGAATACCCCTTTAAGAAAAGGACTTCCGTTCTGACGTCTGACACACGTCAGAGGGAGCGACTAAAGAACAAAATGGAGGAATATGCCAGAGAGCCTTGGTGAGTCAAAAATAACAAAAAAATACTTTTTTATTTGTTGTGATTTTCAATTCTTATTATTTATATTAATATCTAAAATAACAGCACGTCTAGTGTCCGTCTTTACTTAGACCGTACATCATTTGGTTAAATCGTAGCACTTTAAATGTCGAGCCGGTTAGCAGGAGTTAGCAAGATTGCTATTTTCTCCCAGGATTGCGCTAGCACCGCGTACTGTGATAGGACCACTGCAGCTAAATCACGTTGTTGGTGACCTTGTGGGTTGTACATGTCACGTGTTAACGTTTTTGTTATATTTAGTTGGTATTTTCTGTGAATCGTCATCTATTGAGTAAAGAATCCTATCGACAATGTCAAATTGTTTTACGGACGGTTTTTGTCTATGCTTGTTATGTTACTTAAGCTAGTTAGGCTAACCTGTCGGGAGAAAATTACGCAACGGCTGGAGCAGTTGTCAAAAACATGTCACAAAAACTGAGAACCAAAAAGTTACTCTTTTAGTCGAATATATTTCTGGATAATAATATATTTGTCAGGCGGGTGATTTCACATTTAGATTTGTGTACATGTTAGGATGTTAACGGCAGACTGGATACCGCCACATTTGTTGAACATATGGACATTATATTTAAGCCTTGTGACGGTGTATCGGGTGATATTTGAGGTACTAGCAGAAGCACTTTATTTGTTGTAATGACATGGTGAAGGACATGACAGCACCCACACTGTTTACACACTGCGCCCTCTCATTTCCCTGAACTTTTAATGGCCTTGTCCCTGAATTGAGTATGTTTGTGTAGTGGCTATTATTTTATATTATTTACAACAGGGACTGCCACATGCATGTAAATATAGTTATTATATGAACCAGCAGTCAATAAAAACTGCCTTCAGAGTTGATGACCTACTGCACAGTATACTTTAGTGCAGAGTTCACAATGTTCTGTGGCGCTACACATGTTTAGTTAGGATGAATGTCTGCTCCATGCAGGAAATTGTCATTATTCACAGAGACTGTGCTTAGTTAAGTAAAAGTAAGAAAGACATAGGTAAAGAAATTATACACTATATATTATCTTATTATAAGGTACATTAGCTTATAATTAGCCCCAGGTTCCAGTAAATACTGATACTAGTAAATATTAGTTATGTATGGTTCTTTATGAATCATATAGGAAGAGGAAGAAATGGATTCCCTCCTCCAGGAGAAATTTTTGTCAGACCTCCAGTATGAAAGTCGTACGTACAAATTCACAAAAGAGAAAAGTCAGTTGCAGAAGTTTTAGGCAGATTTTAAAAGGTTCCTCTTTTGATGGATGAGCCTGGTCTTTTGTTTGTTTGTTTAGGACTGCTCCCAAAGCTCTTTATATTTAAGTATTGTTCATTTCTAAAGATGATAGTGTATTATGCTGTCTCAGTGCCGCTGAGGACATTTAAGCCTGTAAGAAAAAATTTGGGGATTTTTTTTTTGGATCAAGGTGTTTAGTTTACACTAAGACTGACCATGACTGATCTTTTTTGTTTGCACAGCAGACTAATTTAAACCTGAGCCGGACAAAGTTACGAAACACACATTCAAAGGAGTCAAACAAAACAGTTTAATGGAATTTAGAAGCTGTGAGTAAGATGTGAGGCAGACTAACTTGTTTTTAATCATTTTAAATGGATTGACTTGGAAGGTTTTTTCTTAAAGTGTGTTTGTTTGTGTGTGTCTCAACAAGCCCTAACATGCTTTCTCTGCAAAAGGAACATAAGATAAACATTCTAATTTTCACAAAGATAAATAGTGCAATCTGTTTTTTATGACTTATTGACTTTAGAATTTACTAATAGTTGTGCTTGTCTTACAGCCCCTGGAGGATTGTAGATGACTGTGGTGGAGCCTTCACCATGGGAGCCATTGGAGGGGGAATATTTCAGGCAGTGAAGGGCTTTAGAAATGCACCCTCAGTGAGTTCACCTTTGAAATATTCAACATGCTGTAATGGCTTATTAGTGAAGAGTGTTTTTTTTTTATTTATTAATTAAAACTTTGAACAAAAGGTTTTGAAACTTTGTTTGTTTATTCTGGAGCTTCAGTTTAAACAATTTATCACCCTGTCGACCCTGTATCGTCGTTCTGTACACAGCTAAGAGCTCTAAAGATTGCAAACCAGTCAGCTGTTAGTTAATATGGCTATAAATAGACCTTACAGTGAAACAACAACAATATGCTGCTTTATTTTTGGATTTATTAAAGTGAGAAAACTTTGTTATTAAAGTTTTTGGTAGTTATTAAAGTTTTTCCTTTTGTTGTAGGGGATGAGCCACAGAATGAGAGGAAGTTTGACTGCAATCAAGACCAGAGCCCCACAGCTGGGAGGTAAGGAAGCAATAGAAAATGCACAAAAAATTGACACTCCCATAAATAATAGTAAAGGTTTTATGAAAAGAAAGATCAAAGGTTAAACAGGTTTTCTAGAATCGTTTTAATAATTGGTACATCATTTTTAATAATTGGTACAGAAGCATCATTATTCTGATTAAAAAACGAAACAATCCTCAATCACATTGTTTTACATACTGCCATCAGAACCCTAGTGTAAATTGCTGTTATTTATGACCTCTGTCAGCTTAATGAAATAAACATTGTAATTTGTCAGTTATTTTTAAATCAAACCCTGAAGAATCAATCGGTCAACTGTAATAAAATGCAATCCTTGTCTACAGCAAAAGCCCATGTCTTGTGTTGCAGGTAGCTTTGCAGTTTGGGGAGGTCTTTTTTCCATGATCGACTGTGGTTTAGTCAAAGTCAGAGGAAAGGAAGATCCATGGAACTCCATAACCAGTGGAGCCATGACAGGAGCCATACTTGCTGCAAGAAGTAAGTAGAAGCCCAGCTGGGTGTGGTCTATGTTTTATTAAGCTGTTATCTACAGCCTTTTTCAACTTCCTACTTTACCACAAAGTAGTGAACAAACTCATCAAGTAAACGATGCAGTTTGGTGACTTTACTGTTGTGCTACTTTATTAATTTGACCTCTGATGAATAGGTAGACATTTTTGGTATACAGTGGGTTTTCATGTGGCTCTGTGGCGCAATGGATAGCGCATTGGACTTTTAGTTAATTTGAGGAGAAGAGATTCAAAGTTTGTGGGTTCGAGTCCCACCAGAGTTGCTTTTTGTGTTTTGAATAGGGCTATTTTTTTTAGTCCACCGCTCCTGTGAGTCTGTGGTTTATCAGTGGGATCTTCCATACATTGGTTATGGTTGGTACGTGCATGAGATAGAGTATCTGTGATTTATTCTGATGTATAGTAACTTTGTTTTGTTCCTGCAGATGGCCCTGTGGCCATGGTGGGGTCAGCAGCCATGGGAGGTATTCTACTGGCATTGATAGAAGGAGCTGGAATCTTACTTACAAGGTTTGCGTCTTCACAGTTCCCAACAGGTGAGTGATAATTCTGATATACTTTTACACTTTTACTTGCACTCTAACCTTTTGTTAGAGCTGAAATCATGAAATAAACTGAAATCATTTTAGAATATAATTAATTGATAGATATTCCGTTTGCAGTAATTTTGCAATCACTTCACATCAGCTTGATGTTTTCATGATGTTTCACACTAACTCTTATTGTGTTTTTATGATTTACATTATAAGAAGTACTGATTTGTTAAGGGGATTTACTTTTAAATCTGTTCAACATCTGATTTTCTTTGTCTAATGGTGATGTTGACCCTCTTTTTTTTCTCTTTCAGGTCCTCAGTTTGCTGAGGAGCCTGCACCCATGTCTACTTCGTCCTTTGGAGACTACAGACAATATCAGTGAGAAGACTCAGTGTTTCTCTGTCCTTTAGGCCTTTTTTTTAAAATTCCTTGCTTAAGTTATGAAGAAGAAACTGGGATGCAAAACATAATGCATCAAACGAGAAAAAACTACAAAAAACTACATCCAATTTTATGGATTCTGACTGAGATGTGAAGAACAAACCTGCATCTCCATTTCTTTCAGAAGAGCCATGTACAGACTTGTCTTTTTAAACTTACTGTGCACATCTGTTTGACATCACACTTGTCCAATACAGAGATGTGCATGTGAATATAAGGCTTTGTTTTTTTCAAAAGAAATAGTTCTTGTAACCTCACATGCAGCAATTCAGGCAGGATGGAAAACTGGATAAAACACTGCATATAGACCACATTAAATTATATTTAAGAAGAATACTTGTGTGTATATATATACATCAAAGCGCTCTTTGTGTTTGTGTTTTTACATGTCTTGGTCATTACTTGACTGGCATGTGTAACCTGCTTGTGCTGGTCCCAGACTTTTTGTTGTACTCTGTTTGACTTTATTTCCAGTTAGGAAAGTGAGCTTCTTGCAAGTACAAAATATTCCTGAAAATGTATAAATTCTGAAGTAATTTATTTATTTCAAATCGTAAAGAGTTGGGACCAGGGGTTGTGTTTTGTTTGACATTTACATGAATCACAGCGCTGTAGAACATTTTATAGTGACAAAAATATGGCAAAGACTGTACAAATAAATGGAGAAACTTGAGCAAGGGATTGATGTAAAGTTTAAGCTGTATTCCAGATTCTTCTATGGTACAATAAAAACCATGTTATAAAAAACACTGTTAGTATTGTAAATATGTTCTTGTTTGCTTTTACATTAAAATATAGACTAGGTGTTTTTGATTAACTTTTACAATTCCCAGTCTGCCGCTTCCGTTTGTTGTGTATATTCTCCACTAGATGGAGCTCGTACCAAAGATATCTGTTACTCTGTGCACTCTACGTGATCGAATCTTTAACGTTGAGTTTACAGAAGGGAGCAGTTTTCTCACACATTTTTGGACGTGTATGTCACAGACACCTGTTATCTGTATGAAGCAGCTCGGTGTAGTTACAGGTGAAGAACACCAAAACGATAACCGTCATTCAGGAAACTACTACCGTGGCGTCACATTATTGGCAGTGTCTTTAAGAGGAGATTAATAGTTTGTTAACCTGTTGTTTTATTCAGATTATCAATGATATTGAAAACAAATTTGCATGTAACAAAAGTCTGAATAATAAATAATTCCCAGGTAGCGTTTAGTTACCGACTGCCGATGATGGTTGACAATGTTTCTACCTCATATATGGTGCTGTACACCCGGAAAACCATTATATTCTCACCTCAAGTCTTTAAAAAAATGCAACCCATGACATAAAGCAAATTTTATTCAGATATGTATTACAATAGTCCTTTGAGGCATGGCTATGCTAATTCTGCTTTTAATGCGTGTGTGTATTAGGGTGTTTCTTGGTGCTGTGTTTTACAGTACAACACTAATTGCAAATTTGTTATTTTAAGTGTGCTGTAGTAATGGATCTGATTGGACGATTACTTTCAAAAGAATGGTAAATGAGGAAATATATACAGGGGCAGAATCCCTGGTGATCCACACAGCACCATATACTTACTGACAATACATGGGTATCACTTGAATAAAGTGATTAATTTCAAAGGACCGGGATTCATTATGTAGATAAACGTGGTGCGTGCATTATCCTGTGTTAGCATGAAATTCCCTTGAGTATTCTGACTTATTTAAGTCCCTATATTCCGTAAATAAAATTTTAAAAAATCGACATTCTACTAAACATCATTCTATTTGTCCCAAACCCTGTAAGTACACAGGGCCGTGTACTACATCATGTGTCATGGCCTTTTAAGAAAAATGGGAAACAGTGGGACTGGGAGTGACGTCTATGCGCGTACACACAGTGTCTCTCTCACACACAAACTGAAGCCGGAGGCAAACTGACACTTGCGGAGCGGCGAGAGACAGCGAGTGAGAAACGGTGAGTGCAAATACCAAACTTTACTACATGATAACCGCCGTATAATAACTCATCATTGCCTGTGCATTTAGCGCAGACGTTTGTGGGACACTGGGCAGAAACGTTAATGTTAGCGGCGGGTGTTTTGATTGTGCGGTTTAGAGGGGAAATTGTGACCAAGTAGAAAACGTTAGTATGCACTCCCCATTTTAGTCAAGGCCAGGCGGAAGGGCAGGTAGCAGTTAGCACACGGCTGTTTCTCACTGCCCGGTGATAAGCCCTGGTATGCGGCTTGTTTTACAGAGCCGTCCGCGCCGGTGGAGGTTTCAGCAGTGAAACAAGAGTGATTCTGGGTTGTTTGTGTAAACAAAGGGGTTTATCCGGGTTACATATTGGGCACAGGAATGTGTCGGCCAGCTAGCCTGGCTAGCGGTTTTAGAAGCGTCGGCCCGTCGCAGTTAAAGCTAGCTAGTTAGCGGCATTCTGCTAACAAGCCTTATAACGGGACTTAGTGCTGATACTGGCGAGTAAGAAGCTTGTCTTTCCGCAGCCATTATAACTCAACTGTGTGTGTGTGTGTGTGTGTGTGCGTGTGTTGTTCTCTAACGTTCTAACGTGTTGTGTTTGGACATGTTAATATTTTGAAGCGTCTAATTAATTTAAGAAAAGCTACCGTAGTGTTACACGGACCGACTACTGATTGCCGCTCAGTGGAGTAGTGGCTGCCACGGATTGCAGGGACTTGGCATGACCTGAGTTAATAAACATACCGATATAAGCAAATTATTTGGAATCATAGTTAGACGAGCCAAGCTTCAGGCTTTCCCCTCTCTGCTTATTACAGGTTATTTCTGCAGCAGTGCGTTGTAAAACAGGAACGATGTGTACTCCATATCCTTAAACAGAGTATCCCAGCAGGGAACCAAAAGGTCTTTAAAAAAACTATTAAAACATATGAGTTCCGTAAAGAAACTTTAACGAACTTCAGAACTTAGGAGAATGCCATAGTCCTGTGTACAAAGTGTTTTTAGGTGAAAGCGTACATGAGACAACATTTTTAATAAAGAACAGTTTCACAGTCATAATAATTTCAAAAGTTCTTAAATAAGCAACACACTACTCAATAGTTGCTACTGTTAAAACTCAAAGAAGATGAAGTGAGGTAGGTGTTAACATAATTAATTTAGCATGTAGGCATAAGAATAAGAGTTGTTCATCAGAATATGTTTTTACTGTAGTCATTCTTTCATTTCATTTTATTTTTGCTTAGATTTTGCTTTGTTTATTTTGAATAACAATATGGTGTACAAGTGGCATCAAGTTATTTTTAAAAATAATTACCAAGAATTGCATTCCCAGCTCTTAAATTCATTAGTTGAATACTGCTAATTTGTTGGAGACTTTTAACTACTCTATCATATCCGTCCCATGTACCTGATAACAGTACTTGAAATCAATTTGATAAGTAACTCCTTATATAATAATCATGCTCATTTTCTTTTGTACAAATTTACTCTACCTTGCAAACGTTCGTCCTGATTTGTATCTTATGACTGAAACTTCTGACATCTCAAATGAACAGCCTGAAGTCAATGCTCCCCTAATGTGTTGCAACAGAGCATAGCAGCTTCTGATCTTTGGAGCTGTATTCTACTACAACTGCCCTGACATTATTAAGTAGCACCTGGCTTAGTACATGAGCTACACATTTAAATACAAGCCTTTATTGTCACCCAGGATACTCTTTAAATTGCATTCACAAAATACCTAGCAAGCTTTCTGAAGAGTTTCATTACTGTCAAGAGTCAAGTCTCCTCAGACTCCTTCAGTCTCCTCCTCTGTCTGGAGTCTTGAACAGGAACAGAGAGTGGAAGGAGCTATTTTAGAAGGCAGCTACTCCTTTTCCATCCTATCAGCATGAAGCCTTCTTGTGCTTTGGAAAGAGGATGTGGTTACAGGTCAGGGCCCCTCTGACACAGATGCTTCTAGCTGATGGTGTTTGTCAGTTACACATCTTTGTTATAATGAAGTCCCCTCAAAGTTTTGTGAGACTCCTGTCTTGACTCATTGGGCTCATCATGGTTAAGGTTGGTTAGTGAAGAGTCATGGACTGGGCTCTGTAGGTTTCAATAAGAAGAATAAACTGAAACAACCTTTGTTTCTTTCTCAGAAGTCCTTCCTGGTTCTATGTAGTTTGGTTTTCACACCGCCAACCTTCTTCAAACTGTTAACTAGAAGCCACATTATTTATAGGCTTTAACATTTTTAATTTGTCCTCTCTCTCTCTCTCTCTCTATATATATATATATATATATATGTGTGTGTGTGTGTGTGTATATATATGTATATATGTATATGTATATATATGTATATGTATATATATATATATTTATATATATATAGGTCAACTACACAACTACAATAGTATCAAATGGGTTTTGTGAAAACTCTCTTCATTTAGACCAATGGAAAGTGAGTTCTTCAGTTTATTACATCCTGTCACTGTTTTGCTCTCTGCAATACAGTAGGTTTTTTTTATATTCTAAGTGGCTTATATGATGCATTTTTTAAAACATCCTTTTTGCTTAGTCATAGGGTTTGACTTATTATCTGTTCAACTGTGTTTCCATGAAATACTGTGAACTTGCAAATCACCACATTCCATCCATCCATCATCTACCACTTATTCCTTTTTCGCTGTGGGCGATCCCTGTTATCCATGGGCGAGGGCACAGGTCCTTTAATGTTAATGTTGTGTATGTTTATATGAAATAATTATTAGTTGTTATTATTATTATGTAATTATTGTAACGTGATAAATGTTAGAGGTGGGACATCACGATATAATACGTATCACAATACTTGAGTCACAGTACGATACAATATTACGATATCCAAATTATGACATATATATATATGTGATACTCTACAAAGGGTACGAAAATTGAAGGCCCTTATTGTGGACATGTTTTACAATGTTATACAAGTGTTGTAGAAGTTATTCCAACACAGTTTGTATTTATTTTCACTGTAGAACATCAGCATTTGTAGTACACATGTAACTAAACATGTGTATTGGTGATACAAAGAGAGACAGCTATAGCGTTCCAACTGCGTGCCTCGGTCTAGTTGAGTGTAGGTGAGAGTGGAGGCAGTGCGGCATATTGCTACATATCACCACAAACAGCCAGAAAAAAGAAAAAAAGAAGCAAAATGCCTTGCAGCGAGGTAGCGCTGAAGTTACACCTTGCAGACCAGAGGTGCAGAAGTAGTACTGGAGACAATCCGTCTGAAACATGATTTAATATTTGGAGAAAATATCGATGTTAAAACATTGAATGTCAATGTGAGACAAAGTATCAAAATATATTACCATATCGATTTTCTTTTGCCCATCTCTAATTAATATCAATGTAAAACATCATCATTTCTTTCTCATAAGCAGGTTTCATCCCCAAAACAAGTGTTTCTCAAGCTGAACAGAGTGTGAACAACTCATGTGAGCTGTGGTTTTGACTAACCAAAAGTCTATCAACATTTAAAAACAGTCCTCTAGAACATTGTTTCCCAAAGAGGTGGGGTCGTCCCTCATCATGTTTCCCATGAGTTTACAGATAATGTGTATTGACTTGGGTCGTGAAGGTTTGTGACAAGTTTGGGAAACACTGCTCTAGAACACCCTATTATATAAGTGTCTGTGTGTGTTTTACCCATAAACCTCAAACATGTACTTTTTAACAGCTTCTGAAATTGTGACGTGGGTCAGTTGGAATGCAAGCAAATAAGATGCCACGAGTCTCAGTAATGCTGTGAGCCCTACACCAGCGGATGTGTGCTTTTTCACCAGATACAGAGAGCAGCTGCCAATCATACAGCCTGCTGAGTCAGTTGGTGTGACAGCTCCAGTGCAATCGGATTAGCTCACGACAACAGGAAACAGTGGGTCGTGGATGTTGTGGGTTTTTTGTTAGCATCTTCCCTCTACTTATTTGAGCATTCGTAGTTGATGCAGACTGACATTTGCAGCACATTCAGGCTAGAAGCGGTCTCTCATTCCAATTTCCAGCCTTAGATGGAGACATACCTTTGGCTCTAGAGGGTAAGTGATGCAGTGATGTCATGGCGGAGCATGTTTTTGTGGCATGTGGCTTTCCCTCGCTCCTTATTTGCTTGGGTTACTACGAGAACAGAGGCCTGGCCGCAGCGAGTGTGTGTGTTTGTTTTGTTGGGAATGAAGTGCGTACTCCAAGGCGGTGGAAAAAGGGAGATGTTTGCTGTTAAAGGCAGATATCCTTACATGGCCTTGTGTGTGTATATGTATCTATTAGTGTGAAGGCAGGTGGAAGAGTTTACCATGTAGTGTAGTTTTCCCATTTCTACATCTGTGTGAACTGTCACAAGAAGAAGGTCTTTCTCACTTCTTGGTTTTGCTGATTTTGCTGATGTTTTTTTCCAGGAGATGATTTGACAAAAACTGCAGTTCAGGAGAAGAAGGTGTAGCTTAGCAATAAAAGATCAAGCAGAACTTTTTCAGATCTTTATAAAGGATGTGATATGTTTGACATTAATGGCCCTTTCATTTTTAACATTGTCCATAAGCCCTGCTTTATCATTGCAGGTCAATGATATAATGACCCATTAATAATTGGCAGTATAAGGTCAAGGACATTAACCTAATAATTTCAATGATATGAGCATGACAATTGTCAAGCTCCCTTGTCCAACACATTTACAGCTTTTGTTTCAAAGTCGGGATTAAAGTCCTTGCTGATTGTATGTCTCAGCACAGCCCCTCCTGAAAAGTTCAATTTTTCCAACTTCATTCACGTCTTCATCTGCTTCGCCTGCGTCATCTGCGTCACATCTTAAGCTCACCCCTGTCTGTATCAAACAATGAGCTCTTCGTATTATTCAGTATATTCAGTATTGAAGTAGCTCTCAATTTCAAAAAGGTTGGTGACCCCTGCACTGGGTCATTTGTGTCTGTTGCTGCACAGACCTTGGCAATTGAGCAATTCCTTGGCAGACCACACTTGTTTCATGTGACACTAGAACTTTTGCATGGTCCTTTCATGTTGTTCGGTCATGTGGAAAACTTGCATTACATTTGGTTTGGACACGCAATTGACTAAAATGTGCATATTATTAGGAGACACCACCAAGTGTTCATTTTATCTTATGCAGCTTCAAGCTTTTCAGTTTGAGAAGTTTGAAGTTGTTTACCTGGATCTCAGACAGTCAGTCATACCTTGAAACGATCTCACACTTATCCTGAGTGAAGCCTCCTTTGTCGTCAGGTTCAACCAGGGCCGGTGCACATAAGAAATATGACTGAGGTGACAAGTGAGGCCTACACTAAATTTAAGTGTGACATTGTCTGTGTGACATTGTAGTTGACACTGTGCATGCCTCAACGCCCTTGGTGTTTAAATGAGAACTCACAGAGTTTACATTGTACATTTGGAGTTCTGTTCTTTGTCTTCTCCTTTCAACTTTATTTCAGGGATTTTCAACATAAATCTGTGCTCATCTGTGTGACCTGAGTTTTTTGTTGTTGTACTAAATAAATCTCTGATGGTAACACGCATAATCACTCAGTACCACAAATATTTTTGCTTTAGTATATATTTTATTTTTTTTTTCTGACAGTCGAACATTTTAGAAACAAAAGAAAAGAAACATTTTAAAATCAGCATGGATTTTTCACCAACTTTAAATTAAAACTAATTTCAATTATTTGAGTTCCATCTGATATTTTAACATTGTTAATAAGAAAGTACTTTTGAAAGAAAGAGAGTAGAAAAGCAGGTTGGGACTTGGCATAGAGAAAGCCCGCAGAGGAGTCCAAAACATTACATGTAAATTTGTTTAGATTTCAATGGAGAATATTTAGAGAAATTACTTTGTTATTATCATGAATTCTTAAACCTATTTGACTTATTGTGTTATGTACTGTTAGTTTTGACTTGGATAAAATTTGGTTGAACTTTTTTTTTTCTTTTAAGCCCCATTTGAATAATTGCAACTGTTCAATTATTTGTATTTCTCATGGTAAACTTATTTAATCAACATTGACAGGCAGCCACCCAGTGATTCAGTCGTGCATTTTACTTCTCTCTAGACTTCATACACCTACTCATACAAATCTTTATCAAACAAACTGAGGTTGGAATAAACAAGTAGATTTTTTTTTACTCTCAATCACATGATGTGTTGTATTGTTTTTCCGGGGAGTTGGCGTGAGTTATGACCTCCTGTGGTTGCATGAGTTTGATCAGGAGACATTGTGATTTGTCAACAGATTAATGAAATGCTGACAACTTGTGATTGGATCTGTCACGACGGATGTTGAATGACAGATCAGCCTCGTTCTTCATGTTTCTCTACCTCCGTTAAAGTGCAAACACAAGGAAATAGGATTTTTAAAAAAAAAAAAAAAAAAAGAAATCTGAGTTCTACTAATAACATTGTTAGTCTCTCAGTTTCTGTAGCCCAGACCATCGCCACACAGCTGTCCGACTGAACTGACTTTTTAAACTACCAATGATTCAGAGTCTGTCTTTAAAGGGACATTCCTGGGAGATTTCTTCCTAATTTCAGTCATGAAAACTGACTGACTTCATGTGCTTGTTTTCACAGTATCAGAAAAATATCAAGTGACTAAAAGTTACTCAGCTGGGTGTGTTCCGTTGCATCAAGGCCAAATGATTGTGTCATTTGTATCTATATCTGCCAAATCCTTGTGTTGCCCCCCCCACACACACACACACACTCCCACTGCCTCAGTTCCCCATCTATTCTCATACACACATCACAGCTGGTTTGTGTTAGACAGGGGTCACATACTCTTCACCTCCTCCACCCTGAATGGGTGTTCCCTCTATTGTTGTGCTGCGTCTTGTCCATTAACTCCAAGAATGAGTAGAATCCCAGCTTTTCCAAAGAGGAAAACTGTGCAACCAGCCTGGAAATATATAAATACATATATATATATTTTAAAGAAGATAATTGTTGAACTTGTGTCTCACTTTCTTTTCACACGTTGCTAATTTTATTTCCTCATCTTTTTTTTTTTTTTGCTTTCACTTGTTTGTTCACTGCAGTCTGTTGGGCCGTCTGGTGAAACCATCTCGCCATGCGTGAATACAAGCTAGTGGTGTTAGGCTCTGGAGGTGTGGGCAAGTCTGCTCTGGTGAGTATACCTTTCCCCTCCACCACCCGCCCCCGCCCCTCTAATTCCTCTACTTTGTGTATTTTTACTTGACATTACAACTGGAGCCAAATCTGTAGTTAGAAGTTTTAAAAAGGACACAAATTTCATCATCACACATTTAACGCATTCCTACAAGCATGTGGTGATTAAACGTAGGCGTCTTGCGATGATGCGTTCTGTTGTTTACCATGCTTTGTGAACGTTTTCTTGACGATATCTGTCGGTGTCGTCTGACGTGTTAATGTCTGATCTGATCCTGTGATTTTTGTCTGTCTCTGTTCATGTCACAGACAGTTCAGTTTGTACAGGGAATCTTTGTGGAAAAATACGACCCTACAATAGAAGACTCGTACAGAAAGGTGAGTGTTGCTGTGAGAGCTTAAAGGGAGAGGCAACAAATGTTCTCTTGGAATGAGCTGATTGTTAGCAGCTGCTCTGTGAACTCACGTCATCATATTGTCTTTTTTTTCTAGTATATATCTCTCTCTCTCTCCCTCTGCCTTTCTTCCACCCACTTGTTATGTTCTTAACACATTTTCTTTTCTCTAGTCTTAACACTATTATTTTATGTGTAAAAAAAAAATCAACTACTGACAATTCTTTTACTGTTGCTCTTTTTTTTAACAGCAAGTGGAAGTAGATGGGCAACAATGTATGCTTGAAATTCTTGACACAGCAGGCACAGTAAGTCACCGGTCGATTTTTATTTTTATTTTCTGTTGCTTAATCACTCACATTCACACCTTGGTCAATTTAGAGTGAAAACAAAAATTGAATCCTGCATTGTTGACTGTGGGATGAAACCAAATACCTGCAGAGACCTTGTATATAACGACTGGGATTCAACCAAAGAACCAGTGATTCCCTTGCTGTAAGGCAGGAGCAGTAACTGCCAATGTGTGGCGCTTAGTCAACTCATGAGTATTTTTTCAGGCCAAAATATGGCTTCACTGTGTAAAATATTTTTGACAGCAAAAAAGCTGATGTAAACAGGGTTTTAAATAAAGACATTTTCACTTAAATTACTTAATAAACTATATGGAAGAATAGTGAAAAGCTTAAGAACTGAATGTTGCACTAATTGAATCAACTGAAAATGAGCTGCATTTATTCTAAATGACATACAGAACAACTCTCCTCCATCCCCTCCTTACTGATCGGCCCCGTGTTTCAAGATTGAACTTGTAGATCTGATCAGTCGTGACCAAACTGTCACGTATATGTTGAACCTTTCTTTCCATGAACAGAGATGCAGCTGCTGTACTTTGCCGGGAACCCAAACTGAAGATGACAGAATTAAATGAGTGAGCTCTATAGGTGGATATTGGAAAAAACACCTGCCCTTGCGTCAGTACCCAAACCTCCTTTATTATTTTTACATTGAAAATTATAATTGTCTTTAATTTTTTATGTTAATTTATATAGATTTGACTTACAGTCCATGTTGCAACTTTTTTCCCATGTCATTGAGGTTTATTAGACATTTAGTGTATGTATTTTAATACCACTAAAATAGTAATTCTCCTTTTCATTTTTTGTCAAACTGGAATTTTAATTTCAGCACAGCGTTGCATAACCAAAGTGGGAACATGTACACGTCTGAATTAAGAACCTTCATACAAAGTACATGTATAATAACTTAAGAGAGGAGAAAATAAAGTATGTGATTAGTAACAGTATCTCCAGATACTTCAGGTTCCAGGTTAACAGTTTGTAGAGTCTAGAGAGAGGACATCTGTGACACAGCTCATGTTCTTTGTTGTTGTTGTGTGTTTCTCTGCCGTGCAGGAACAGTTCACGGCGATGAGGGACTTGTACATGAAGAACGGTCAAGGCTTCGCCCTGGTTTACTCCATCACAGCACAGTCAACCTTCAACGACCTGCAGGACCTGAGGGAACAGATCCTACGAGTAAAGGACACAGAGGATGTGAGTGTTTGGAACCATTGTTCAACAACGCTCATTTGTTTGATTTTTGTTTTAAACATTGTACGACTTCACAGCTTGCAGCTCAGCTCCAGCCGCCTACACCATTCATGGCCCTGATCCGTGTTGCTATGGTCACCATTAAACACTAATCCCTCCAACTTATTTGTCGTTGCAAATTAGTATCACCCCCCCATAATGTAAGCGGTGCATTGTCAGTTCAGTCAGTAAGAAACAGACTCTCTTGAGTGTTTTACGCAGAGTAGCGTCAGCTAATAGTCGCTTTGTGGAGGTCCCTGTGGTTTGTTTACCTAATCTGGGTTTAATGTGGAGGCACAGAATTGGTCCCCCTCACTCTGCTTAAGGTCCTGTTAAAAGTAGGGCAGAGCTTTAGTCTCAGTAGGAGACGTTTAAAGCCCTGGATTTCCCATTTACATTTGCCCTTCGGCTTGTATCTGTAACAGAAAACAACACACACAAAAAACAACAACTTTTGCATCATTTTATGTTTTCCCTGCTCTGCTGTTGTTCAGCCGCTTCAGTAATTCATAAAGAAAGTTAGAAAGTCGAGTAAAACCCTCCGACCCTCCTTCCCTGGTCTGGCTGTGCGTCAGCAGAATCTAAGATGGCCTTTTTTGGTGATTGTTGGGGGAACTGAATGTTACCATAACCCTCAGTGTTAGTCTTCCTCTACTGCTCCCTTCTGTCTCACATACAGTACAAGAAGTAGGGATTAAACTTGTACTCTCTCATTGGTCACCCTTTTCCTCTTCTCGCCCCGTTTGTCTGCCAGTTACCTCCTTTGCGTTGTATCTTATCTGAACCTTTCTGTTCTTATTGCTCGGTGTTTCATATCCCCCCCGCCCCCACCACCTCCCCTCACTCTCTGCCTCGCGGTCTCACTGTGGTCTGGCACCCAGTGCGGGTGATTGGACTGTTAGGGATGATGTGCAAGGAAAAGCCTCAGCTCATCAAAAACACACACTGGATCGTGAGGCTGCGGTACTTCATTAGGGCCTCAGTGGTTTTGGAAGCTGTGGTCAGCCTCAGGCTAACAGATGGATTGCAGGATCTGTGGCCCCTCAACATGTTTCAGGTTTTCTGAGTTGGCTTTTGACTTTGAATGCATACCCAGTTTTATCAGTCCTTTTTTTTCATTTAGCTGTGATTTTTCTTCTGTACCTACGATGACAACCACATCTGTTTCTCTTTTTATTTGCCTTATTGTAAAAATGAACAACCAAAACGTTTTGTTTTTTTTCATCTATTCTCAAACCCCACCATGCTCCATTTACAACAAAGCTGCCAAAATGTACAATGGCTGCTCATATTTTAAGCTGTTTTATTGACCCCTGTAGGGTTAAATTACATTTTCTGAAATATGTTATTAGGAATGAGAAATGCGAAATTATTTTTTTGTTTTGTATTCAAGCCAATGTATATGACTCACTTCAGTAAGGAGGAACTGACTCCATTCATGAGTAACTATCTGTACTGTTCCTTTCAGTTTTCTTAGAAAACGATTGTTACATACCATCTAGGACACGACGGGACGTGTCTGTAGCATGTCTCTGAAACCACTCTGTGTGTGTGTGTGTGTGTGTGTGTGTTCAGATTCCTTGAGAAGCTTATTTTCTGCTCCCCTGGTATACGTTGCTACTGACACTTAACATTTCTTTTTTTTCTTCCCTGCATACCTTCATCCTTCCATCCCTCACATCCCAGCTTGGCTCAGAGTTTGTGTTAAGAAGGCATACCATTGGTTCTCTTTGGACCCCAGGGAGAAATGCCATTTGACCATCCACTGCTAGGGCTTGTTTGAATATCAAACATCAAGCAGCAGCCTCCTCAGATTTAATCTAAACATGGCAGTTTCCTGTTGTCAGCCTCACAGCAGAAGAAAGTCTGATAGAAGAAGTGAATGACGTGGTTTTATTTGTCCTATATGTTCACAGTCAGAAAGACTGACGGCCATACCACAGACAAATGTCTGCAAGTCAGTACTTGTCAACATTCTCCTACTTTGCTTTCAAAAAAGCAGTTTTTCCAGAGTCAAAAGACCCGTCTGGGGGCAGATGTAGGGTTAGAGGTGGGTGGTGGAGCCAGGATTTCCCATGCTAAGATTTATTTGCTGTAGAAGACCCATAAATAGACCAGGTGATAATGTGTGCTGCCTGCAGAGCCGCACAGTTACCACAACTTTGTCAATTATTACAGATGTCATAATCCCTGCTTTTAAATGTAACATGCTGCATTCATCCTGTTATATATATAAAAAAAAACAACATCCACAAACAAACCATCTGACACCATCATGGAGTTCCAGAGAGCATTCAGTCCAGCTGAAGTGTTTGAAAAAACATTCAGGAAGGAAAGCGATGTTATCCTGGCTGGGCGGGGCTGCTCCGGTTTCCTCCGGGCCAGTGAGCTCCCTAGATATCCAGTCAGGAAACAGCAGGCAGGATGAGCCGCATCCCGACACGGTCACTGCCACCACTCTGCCAACGTGACAGTGAAGACAGAAGTTTTTTCAGACTACCGCTTAGTTAATATTTTTATTTTATTTTTTTAAAGCATCCAAGTGTCTGGCTATTTGCAAAATTTCTCATACTACACATGAAAAAAAGTGTTGCAAAGTTTTATTTTTTATCATAAACAACAAAAAAGTCTTTTGGTTTTGTTTAGTAGACGGAAGATGTTGGAAATGTCCAAACGCTGCTCTTATGCTCCGCCCACTTCGGTCTCAAGGAACTGTTATTGTTACAGTTTCCAGAGTTTGTGTAGTTGTTTATAAAGCAGGTTCTCTGACCAGCAGTTTAGTCAGAGCTTTTCCTTTGTTTGTATCAGGTTTTTTATACTTTCATGAAGCAGAGGTTTTAGGACTTAAAAATCATCATCTTTCAATTACACAGCCTTAGTTATGAAGGGATGCTCAATAATATTAGATCCCATTAATAATCAGCTGGTAATGTGGTCATTTTGGTTGGTTTGATAATTTATTTATTTAGCTGATAAACTGATGTATAAATGCAGCTACGTTCCACTTTGGCAGCCATGTGTTATTTGCAAATGTGTCGGCTTTAATTTACTAATTTATGTATTTTTTTAGGGCTGTAATCAACCAAAGAAAATCTTGGTTTTCTAATTTAATTCACCTTGAATTGTTCTTCATGTCTCAAGTTATTTCTCTTTTTTTTTTGTCCTTCAGGTGCCGATGATTCTGGTGGGGAACAAATGTGACTTGGAGGATGAGCGTGTGGTGGGGAAGGAGCAGGGTCAGAACCTGGCCAGACAGTGGAACCACTGTGCCTTTTTAGAGTCGTCTGCTAAGTCAAAGATCAACGTCCTTGATGTGAGTGAAACCAGACAAGAACCCAGGTTTAAAGTCCACAGACAAGTTAAACTGGACGACTTGGTGGACCAAATAAACATGAATGTGTTAGGATAAAGAGTGTTGTATGATGTAAATTGTTAATCGTGGTTCTGTCTGTCGTCTCTCAGATCTTCTATGACCTGGTCAGACAGATAAATAGGAAAACACCAGTGGAAAAGAAGAAAGCGAAAAAGAAATCCAACTGTGTCCTGCTTTAAAACTCCTCCCTCCAGCCCCTGCAGCAGGTCTGAGCCAGGTTTGTGTCCTGAAGATTCACTATTTAGATGTTAACTTTATAACATCTTTATCATTAGTCATTGATTTGATGCTAATGCCGTCACCAGGTAGTGGGAGTAATGTGACTGATAGATAGTTTCTAATGTAATTTTATTCAACACTCTCACTCTGTACGTGGATAACGAATACATTCTCTGTAGTTATCTATTAGGCTTCAACTTCTTTGCTGCATCTTCTTGAAGGTGTATCTCTGTGACTGCGCTATACTGGGTTAAAGTCATGGATGGTTGACCCCAAGTACTTCAAAGGTCAACTCTATCCACTGGGGCTTAGATATAAATTATAGTCAAATGCTGACTTGAAGTTAATTTCACCGTTTTATCATTTTTATCATTAGTTAAAAGGAAGGAGGAAGGGGGGTTGACCATCATCCGAGGAGAACGTCAGACATCAGATGTTTGTCTGTGGCTATGATACATTCTCTAACTGCCCTTGAGCAACCCCCATCTCTCTCTGACCATCAGTGCTCTGACTCCCAGCTGAAACAGTTTGAGTGGGCAGAACAGCTGATTTGCACATGTCCTCTTACCACTCAGGCTGTTCCAAATAGAGAGCTGATTACAGTCGCTCCTCACGTGAACCTCCTCGGAATCACATCTTGCTTCCCTTCAGATGATTTCAGTTCATTCCCAGCTTTATGTCAGGCGTCAGCGTCCACACAGCATCAGGCAGTTGATAAGAACAGATCACCTCTCATTCATTCTGATTCGCTGTGATGGCGTCGCACCACAAATGTACACGGATGCGTTTGAGTGATGTGAATAAACAGTAGAATTAAATGGAAAAAAAAAAACTGCAGAAGTGTTAGATGAGAAAAGTAGATTTTCCTGTTGACAGGACAGACGGTGTTTTCCCTTCAACACTTCCTGAGTCTAATCTGCTCATGCCACGCAAACCACAGCCAGAAACATCTCCACTCGTTCTCAGAGACTCATAGAATCGTTCTTTTCTCAGCTGGCCCGTGAAGCTTGTCCCACAGACATGACACACATCTCACTTCTGTTTACACATAAGGACTGTGCAGTGAACTGTCACTAGTGGAACAACAGCCTCAGTGTTCCACTGCCCACAGCAGAGCAGAGATAATGAGTTCACAGCTTCACACAGGACCGGACAGAGAAACGAAGTCGATGAAAAGTTTGACTTTAGTTCTCAGTTTAATCACATTTGGGGTTCATTTCTCAGTTCTATCATGCAGTATGCTGTGTATGCTTCAGAAAACCAGCATCACCCTGAATACTTTAACAACAGTGAAGTGACAGGTGACTGGTATATCTGCTTTACTCTGTATTTATTTTAATAGTTGACTGAGTTTTATTCATGCTGTTTAATCACCACAGAGTCACAGACGTGGTTTCACCTTCACACCTTGATGTAGATGTTGTGTTGACTCCTGCTGTTTTTAAACAGAACTTTATAATAGACTTTAATATGGCAGGAATTCTGACTTCACAGCAGGAAAAACCACATGTGAAACATTTTACCAGCTTGGGATTGGATAAGGAACACACACACACACGCCCACACAAAGTGAATGCAGACCAATAAAAGTCATAAAGCCTGTTAATAAAAACCAATTAACATTCTATTAGAATTTAAAATCTCTGGCCTCCGCCTCCTGTGCCACGTCAGTTTCTCTCCTCCTTTTTCACGGATGCCTCAGAATCGACTAGAAAAGCCAGGCACACAAAGAACCAGCTGGGAATGCACTTGTGTTGTTATGCATTTATCAAGCTCACATTTCTTTTCTTTTTTCATCGACCTCTGAAGCTGCACTAATATGTCGGTTGGGAATAAAAGTCTCACGAACAGAAGCTGAAAGAAAGCCTTTAAACCTGGTGGTGAATGGAAGATTCTGAGTACATCCAATATCTATATCAGTTTTGATGACACGTTGTATTTACCCTGTGACTGACTGGAGCTCAGTAGCTTCCATTTACCACCGTCACCGACCTGGACTTTGTCTGCTCTGTGTTTTGAGCAGCTCAGAGAAAATTGTATCTCAGCCCAGTCATAATTACAACATGGAGGTGGTGGTGAACACTGTTTACAAGGAGGAAACAAGTCATCAGGCTGCATGTGTTTTGACACGGTCTCACTTATAGTACTGAGGGGCGAGAGTAATGTAGTGGCAGGATTCCTGCACAAGGTTGTAGGTTCCATTCCTTCTAATCCCCAATCCCAGGTTTGGTTGAATCAGGCGTTAAATCATTACAAAATTACTGTTTAATCGTGGTCCACGATAAAGGGAGAAGCTGATAGTTTTTTCCGAAATAAAAGAAACTCATTATCAGTTTATTTTATATTTGATTTTAATATACAGTATACATGGTGCTCGGGAAAATTGGTGTAATCTCACAAAATGACCACAAGAGGGCAGTGAAAGACTGCAGCTTCTGTTAAGTTGGCGATTCAAATCTGAGTGACGCTGACGTTGATTGTGTTGCAGAAATGCTGTAATGAAGAACTGTTGCCCTGATTGGAACGTGCCAGCATTCCAACAGCCCTGGCCCCCACCCTGCACCCCCTCCCTCCATCAGCCACAAACGGTGAAATCAGCTGACTGAACTGCTCCTATCAAAGACAAGGATCTACGCAGGGAGAATGATTAAACAGATGAAGAGAATAAAGGAGAGAGAGAGAGAAAGAAGAAAGAAAGACAGTGGGAAAGAGAGAGTGAGAGAGAGAGAGCGAAGGACAGAGAAGACTGTGGTCTCTCATCTTTAACGACCGTCCTCTGTGTCTCAGTTCCAGTGTGAACCCTGAACGGACCGTCTCCATTTCAAGCACCACTAACTGATAACGATGATAATGATGATGTAATTGCAGTGAAGCCTCTGAAATCCTCCGCATTTCTAATATTTTTTTTGTCAGTTAACAACCAGAAAGCATCAGAGTTAAAGAAAGGAAAACAACGCTAGAACTTGGATTAAGTTTTTTTTTTCCATCCTTTTTTGAAAGACATGGAAGTTGACCCTTTTTTTTAGTTGTATGATTTATTATTCAAAAAACAAGCATGAAAAAAGAGTCCTTATTAAAGTGTAGATGTTATCAAGTGAAACCATGTGGAAAAGTGAGGATTTTTTTTATAGCCATACACACTATCGTCCGTGCCTGTTATGTCAGTGGTAATAGATTGAGGTCTATGATATGTGTTGTTATTTTTATTATAATTATTATTATTATATATTTTGTTTTTCTTTGTTTGCCCTGTTGTTCATGGACTTCTCTTCAGCAGATAACTCTCTTTGATGTGACTTCATTTTATACTCAGTCACTGGGATTTCATAGCTCCCATAATATATTCTCATTTTTTTGCAAATTAATGCTTCGAAAAAAATGGGCCTTTTTATAGAAGAATATGGGGGGGGGGAGGGGGTACGAATTGATTTCTATGTCTCTTGAAGCTGAAAATATATTATACTAAACCAACTCTAATAATGCTTCCTGTGTTTTTCTGTCAATGATGTTCCAGCTTTTATGGATTATTAAAGTACATTTTAGTACATTTTCATTATATTGGTCAATGTATTTTTGTGAATTAAACTTTTATTCAAAGCTGATTGGACTGATGTGGCAAGAGTGCAGTTCAGATGTTTGTGTATTGTTGGGTTTGAATGGGGACGTCTGCTTTACTACAAATGACCACCAGGTGTCAGCATTTGAACAGAAACACTGCAACACATTCAGAGGCTGTCGATTTAAGGTTCCAGCGGGGAATTACATAATGGGGTTTAATGGGACAATAGCTCACAATGACTACAGCACAACATCATTCTTTAAACTAAACACCAACTGAAATATGTGAATGGATGTGACCTTCTCTTCAGTACAACACAGAGACCTACTGATAAGATAAGAAAACCTACACCGAGTTAAAGGCTTGTGTGAACAACACAGTCTTTAAAAGACTCAACAGAATTTCAGATGGACACCGGTGGTCCATTGTGATTACCCCAGCTGACAAAAAAAAGTAAAAAAGACCCCTGGAAACTGATCAAGATTTCATATATATACAGTACATACTGTATATATATTATAAAACATTTTTTTAGATATTTTTGTACAATATAAACTGTCAGTAAAAAGCTTTCAGTCGTAGAGAGCAGTAACTCTGACTGAATTCTAAAAGGATGAAAACATATCTGCGAGCTCTCATTCATCCACAGTCCCTGGCCTCTCCAAAAAGACACACACACACACACTCACTCACATACACACAGAGAGATCAATTAACAGATTAGTGGCTGTGTGTTGAAGTGGCTGCAGTATGGTCTGTGGCTAATGCATTTTCAGCAGAAAGAGAGGGAGAGAGTGAACATAAGCCTGACTGTCAGGGGAATATTGATGGTCTGGAGTCAAGTTTACGTCCTCCGAGGATTTATCTGCCATTTCCTGTCTGTAATTTATTTATTTTGATGATGTGCACTGCTGCTTTATCAACGCTGAGGTCATTCATACAGTAAAAGCCCACATGTTAAGAACATTTAAGGCCTTTTATATATATATATATAAAATTATTTAGTCATTTCCCCTTTATATCTTACTGTAACACATGAGTTTCTTGGTGTGTAAACACACCTAAAACTTTATTTTATTTATTTATTTTTAATTAGAACAACTTAAGATTGTATATGCTAACTCAGCCCCCACAAATGAATGCATTATTTACTCACGTCTGCAAAAATGTCTGCAAACCAAACATTTCTGCACTTTGTCTTATGTAGTAGTGATACAAAACTTTTGAATTTATTAGTTATTTTTTATTTTTCCCTTCAAAATCTTATTCATTATGATTCATTGCAGAAAATCATTCAGTTAATGGTAATGGCATTGTTTCTATAGTTTGCCATCACTGTTATGAACACTACCTGTGCTTAGTGCTTTTAATATTGAATGTATGCAATTTTCATCACCATGGACAGCTCTCTCCCCGCGGCGACTGTGGTAGCTGGGCTGGTAATTCATATCAATGGCGGTGTCCTTCATTAGCAGCAGCTCCACTAACTGAAAATTGATGTTGTTTGTCCCTCAGGTGTTCCTGCATGTGTGCACAAGGATCACCAGGCAATTTGGTCCCAGCACATTCCACCTGTATTTACACAGGCAGCCGAGCACAACAATCTGTGCCTTCTTTACACACACACACACCTATATAAATATAGCTGCGTGCTGTCAAAGCTTTTCAGCTTTGACACCAAGTATATTTTTGTCCAGAGAAGAAGTACTTTCTTATTATTATTATACCTTAAAAACACCTAAAAATCACAGAAAAACTGAAATCCTGCAAATATTTCTGCGTTGTAAATGCTGTAATCTGCTGATTTACGGAGTCTTTGTGTTGCAGTTAAAGTCTGAGTCCATAACTACACTGAGATTTCTGGGTTGGTTATTAGAAATTGGTTGAAGCTGGTTATAGACCAGACATGGGCAAACTAAGGCCCAGGGGCCGGATGCGGCCCGTTTAGCTTTGTAATCAGGGCCGGCAAATTTTATAATTGGTTTGTATTGTGATTGTACTTCTGCCTTTTCCCTGCAATGCCCACATTTTCCCTTTAGATTGTGTAGAGGATGCTAAGAATATTTTAGCAGTTTAGCCTTAATGCAGGACTTACAAATCATTTACCTTAGTTCACACAAACGCTCCATCTATCTGCTCCTGACCCGGCCTTTAACTTGTCTGGTTTATGACAATATGATGATCTCAGTTTGATATGTTGATCTGGCCTGAAAACACCATATTTCCATGGGATAACTTTGCTACTGTAACACACTTTTAAAAGGGTCAGAGGTCAACCGTGTTCCTTTGGAAGTGATGTTTAGCAAATCTTAAGCATCACGTTTGCCTGCCGTGATGTCTCTATTCCCAATCTCTCACTCTCGATCTGGTCAGTCTGGGCAGCCTGGTCCTCCATGGTCTCCTGACTTATGGCCCGCGTCGTCTGTGATGACAAGAAGAAGAGTGAAAAATCAATGGTCACGAGGAGAAGCAGCAAAGTGGCGACGGCCCCTCGGGGACTTTCCTCTGTCTGTTGGCCTGAGCTCCAGTCAATTACTCTTCACTGAGACTGTAAGTGTCTGTGTGTGCAGATGGATTCAATGAATTACAGCCTGTGAAGAATGGATCTGAACAGCTAACACCGCCGAGCCTCTGTCAGGTGCTTTAAATAAATAAAAAACAAAAAAAACAACAACAACGCAGCCTTTCACTGGAGAGAGAATCGACTGGAAACAGATGAGCTTGTTGTCAGCACTAAAACACAGAAGGAAAAAAACATTACAGAATGTTGGTTCTCAAACTGTGGTACGCCCACCACTAGTGGCACGTTGGCTCTCTCTCACTTTTGCACAGTACTCTATATCAAATATTTATTGTATTTGTAATTCTTGACTAAGATTTGATTTTGATGAAAAAATATCCCACTCTTCATGGACCAGTCCATTCGAACTGCATAAACAGCACACCCTACAGGGGAAGAAGGGTAACTGCAAGATTTTTTTTTATTAGTGATAGGTAAATAACAGATTAATCTTACATTATTAGCCATTGTATCTGTAATGATTTTTTATTGCACAAATATTTGTCATCAAACTAGATTTTTTTTCTGTTCTCAGGTTAAACCTCGTTATATGTTTTTCATGTCACTCTTTAAAGCCCCCTTGTGGCTCGTAGTACAGATTATACTTATACTCTGTCTCTGTTTCTCTCTATGTTTTTCAATCAGGCAGCTCAGCATGTGTTTGGAGCCTCGTCCTCTGAAAATGTCAATAGCTCATTACACAAAGGTCTGCTCTCTCCGTCTCTATTTATATCTGTCACAGGTTTTTTCATCATTACCTCGCCTCACGCCTGGTCACCGGCTCACACACGTATGCAGCAGAATGTGTGTGTGTGTGTGTGTGTATGGAGGTGTGTGGTCATTAGAGAGGATCCAGCCACCGTGATGTCGACGATGTTTCAGCATCTATTCTCTCCAAGCCTTCACTCTTCCACCCCTCCACCCCCTGATAATCTAACCCTGTCCTTGCCCCTCCCACCTCCCCATGATTGAGAGGCAGATCGTAGGCCTGCATGGTAATTCATGGTGGAGGAGGTGGTGCTGACGGAGCAAACCGATCTCTCTTTTGTTACTGCTTTCAGTCAGAGATTCAATCAGACCAAGGATTTTTCCAGAAATGAATCAATGGTTAAAGTTTGTCATATTTTCTTGTTCATTCACACTCACGTTCACACCTGTGCTGAATGTAGAGTGAACAACTAACCCAATCCTGCATGAGTTTTACCTGGAAAATGCAAACTCCATACACAAAGACCAGGGATTGAACTAGTGCAGTGTTTTTGACCACCAAAAGAAAAAAAATAGAGTTGCAGACTCTTAACATCTAATACTTGTATTCCAGGTATCTCGAGGTTTCACTGTATATGTAATGATTTATGTAATATATTACTATATATATGTATAGGATATGTAATTGATTAAAATCTCGACCTGTTTATTTGAAGACATCGCTGATATACTGGCAGGAATTAAAGAAAGACACACACACACAAAGATTCAACAGCTTTGATGATCTCTTTTATAGTTTTTATAGCCATCTGCTGCCACCTAGCAGAAGAGTAGTTAATTGTTCTGCCTATCAAGCAAAGAAAAAATATTTGCAACAAATAAATAATAGATTTCAGCCCAATTAAGTGAAACTGGATCATTTTCCACGGCCCACCAGTGTGGAAATCACTGAACTAGTGAACTGGTGAACCAGTGACGTTCTTGCTGTAAGGCAAAAGCACTACTCACTTTTTCACTATGTGGTTGTTTTTATGGATTAGAAATTGAGATTTGCAAAAAAAAATAAAAAGAGAGAAAAGAAACAACTGAAATGCTGGGTGCTGCAGCAACACCAGTGTGAAGAGGATAATTGTCGGCCATGCTGTGACTCTGTTGAATCTCTGTCTGCACAGCAGTATTGATTTTTACACTCGTCTATGACTTCATGGCTTTTCTCTGCTGAAACATTCTTCATCGTGAATGTTCACATTAGCTCCAGAGTGGTGGTCGTGGTGGAAAACCTTTCTCTCTGCTGTCGTTGGCTGCTGGGGGGGGGGGGGGGGGGGGGGGGGGGGGGGGGGGCTGTTGGTCCAGTGTGGAGAGGATGGGACGGAGGCAGGGACAATGGAAACAACAGTGAGGTGGGGGATGGGGGAGACGGGTTTCCTGAACGGTGGAGATGGGGCTTTCAGCATGAAATCAGAGCCAGTGGAGATGGAGGCGCTCTCTGGCGTTCTGCTGACTTGGGTGTTTGTGGGTGTAATGAATACGTTCCCTGGGATTGTGGACGCTCCCTGGTGCTGCTCTGTATTCATCTGCAGCTCAGCACAACTCGACTCATGGAGGATGGAGTCTAGGATCCAATCCCTCAGTTCTTGTGCAGATAAAATTCATGGCTTGAGTTTAAGAGGTTTTTCTTTGAGCTTAAAATTGACTGTCAGAGCGCAGAGGAGATATGTTTCATCTGAGAAAACCATTTGGAGGCGCTCATTCAATCCTCACCTGGGGACG